AAACCCCAGACCCCCCAAGTAACCCCAAACCCTAAACTCCAAATTAACCCAAACCCTCGACCCTTAACCACAAACTCAACCTATACCCTAAACCAAAATAACCTAAACCTCGAACTGACTCCAAACCCTGAAGCCCCCAAAACATCCCTACAGCCTAAGACGTAGATGTTTTGGCTTTGGGGCCCCCGGAGCTGTACTATTCAGAGGGTCCATGTACCCCCAATAATATATAATTTGGCCTGAAGGTACTTAGGGCTTAGCCCTGGGCGTCCGCGCCTGTTTTAGAAACCGTCGAGCGCACAAAACCGTCGATAGCATATCAACCGTACGGGGCCGGGGTCCGAAAGCAGTGCCCTTGGACAACTGCCATCTCTAAGCAATCTACACGATGTCATCGCCTAATTGGTTGTCAAAGCGTCCAATGTCAACTCCACGAAATTACACTGTGCTGTACCTGGATGGCAAACCTTTCGTATGTTGTCTAAACAAAACAAAACAGGGAAAGGCCACAATGCAGTTAGTTGTCACACAACATGTCTGAGCAAAACAACCGCCAGCAATACTGCTCCAGTGGAAGCAAACAATGCATGGTGACCTGATGTAGTGTAGCCCTAAGAAGGCGGATTTAGAACCGTAGAGGGTACAAAACTCAAAGTCAGCAAATATGTGTAGGCAGGGTATATGGAGCTAGATTGGCAAGGAAGACGGTGGCGCATGTACATCATACTGTACGACCCAGATTTTCGTTATACGGCATACATATACATATATAGATATACACACAGTATACATATGACATGCAAGAATACGTGTGTGCAGAAAAAGATATTTAATTTTTCGCTTCTACATATCCAACCTACAATGAGAGTGTGTAAGTCTAGTTTGTCTGTTCTTTAGTGACTTTAGTGTGTGTGCGTGTGACTGAAAGAGGGAGGGAGGGAGGGAGAGAGAGAGAGAGGGAGACAGAGAGCGAGCGGGCTGCTGTATGTGCTCTGTAAGACAGTGTTCGCAGCATAAAGCGTCACAGAACAAACATGACACAGGCTGTGTTAGCATGAAATGCGTGTTTATTCATCCACCATAATTATACTAGACACCGTTTGGAGTTTGGAGCCTGCAGAGAGACCTTTGCTCCAACATATGCAACACATTAGCAAGCACTTCTGCATGCGCAACTGAAACTCGTGTGCACAACGATGGTGCTACTCCCGTCTACTATGCCATATTCATGCTCCCAATTACAGCAGCGATCAACATACGAAAGAACACAACATCATGCAACCAGATTAACGGCCATTACAATAGGACAACAACAGTGGCCAGTAAGAGGAATCATGATGTTTGTTGTGCAAACTGTGACCATCGTAGTCATTTTGATGGTATCATAAGCAACACCCACCGACACAGCACACACAGACACACGCGCGGAATCATCGGCACCACATCAAGATATTTACAACCACGTAGGATGGCGAATACTGCTGGTCCTGGTGATGAACAAGGTGATGGTGCCCGTAATGACGACGATAGTGATGATGGTGAGGTTGATGATGGTGATGATGGTATGCGCGAACACGGTTTTGACTTTGACATTTTGAAGGTTGCGTTACCGCTTGAAAAGAAACATCGGATTTGCAAGAATTACACAAAAACACGATGACGACTAATTACCACGGCCAACAGCAACTTATGTGGTATCAAGTCGTGGTCTGAACAGTACTAGCATCAGTACAACTCCAACTAACAACTTTCTTAACCTGAGCAGTTGTAACAGGAGGGGTGCCCGCGTAACATTATCATGAGCATCATGACGACACCAGTGACAACACTTCCCTTTGCATGATTAATTTACTTTGCACTATATGGCTGTTGATAAATTTCTGATCCAAAAACAACTGGCCAAACGAACTGCTGAGACATGAAGGCACGGGCCATGGCATCATAGGAACAATAACGATGCGAGATGTACACGGGACTTGACTCATTGACGTAAGGCTGGGAATACGCATGCAAATGCATGTCCAACCCCCACTTTCGGCGCGTCTAAGGAGGGGTTGGGGTCAGGCGATGCACAAGAACACAAGCCATGATTCACGACACAGAAATGCGTGATTCACACCAGTTTGGTTGCATCGGTCAAAAGTTGAGCATAGCTACGACAGCGTGTCTTTTGCACAGAAGCGCCGTGAAACACCGTGAATCACGCGTGAAATGACCGTGAAAACCGGTTTGGATCCGTGAAAGCCGGTTTAGATTCGTGAGCGCCTGTTTCGGGATTTTGATTTTGCGCCCGAGATGATTTTTTGAGCCTCCTGGAGTCAAAGGCCCAAAAACAGCGTGAATCACGGTGCTGCTTTCAAGAAAACCACAGCACGCCATAGGCAAAATATCGACAACGAGACTTTCTTCGCATCAAAAAGTGATATACCGAGTTAACGGTTGACGGGGCCTGATCTGCTCAATTGCAGAGGAATTACAGTGTAGGAATTAGCTCTAGTGCCACAAGGTTTACCAACAGTTGTGAGAAGCAGGAAATTTGATTTGTACGAAAGTCAGAAACGCAACAGAGCCCAACCATGATTAGAATATCACCACAAATCAGTGCAACAAAGAGATACACCATAGTTAAGCATGGAGTGTGTAAGAAGTAACTGCAAACCCCAGCTGCAACAACAAAACAATGATATCGTTCATGACAGCAAAACATAGCAACAACGACACTGTCGGCGGTATTCGGGGCGTGGTATGTGTGCCCACAACAACAGAAGCAATCACGAAACAAGCCAACCCACGCAGCAACGACAATCTGTGAATGTCTAGGGAAGTGTGTATCGCTACGTATATATATATATATATATATATACATATACATATATAGATAGTTTTATATGTCTACACTTTACACATATACACCAGGTGTATGTGCATATCTACTGTACTGTAAACACGAGTGCTGGAAAACATCATGCTACTTGGAGCAGCAACAAAAGCAACAAAAATGATGATAGCAAAAGCGACAACACCGCCCGCACAGACGGCAATGTCGCCAGCAGGCAAGGTGCAAATACGAACAGTGCTACATGTGAAGATGCAGAGTATGTTTCTGCATGATGACGATAACAACAGGGATGACTTCTACGGCTGGTGGTGGCAACAGGAATGAAAAGATGAACACGTGGCCAAGATGATGATGAAGATGAAGATGGTAAGGATGACAAAGCTACAGATATTGATCACAACAGCTATCATATGTTGACAAGAAACGTGGTTTAATGACATATCGATACCAGAACTGTTGCAGTGCTAACATATGAAATCAGAGAGGGGGTACCAAGAAGCATCATCGACAATATCAACATCAGCAGCCGCAGCAGCATCAGCAGCTGCACCATCATCAACAGAAGACCCTGTCACCAGCACACCATTATCAGAGTGGCTCTATATCCATGCATGATCATGCGAACGACACTGCCATTACTAAAGCAATCTTGGTAGCAGTCGTAGTTCGAATGTATCACTTCCTCAATCAGCGTTTATGCAAGCTCAAACTATATACCTTTCTCCACTACGCTCCTTTGTTACAATAACGAATTATATCACGAAGTAGTGTAAGTTCGTGCAGTTTTTCAGTTTGTGCCCGGTTGCAAACACTTTGCGAAACAGCCTGGAAGTTGTGCTCGCACTTGTTGCCAGAAATCCAATGAACTTGAAGTCTCAATCACTTGGAATGAGCTCCCGACACGATAAGAATGCTGAGGGGTGTGGAGTGCAAATTTCTGTCTCAAGGAGACGGTCCAAGTGACAAGACGCAGAAGAAGACTGTAATCACACATCTCAAAAAGTATGTGCAGATCATCATGAGTATGAAAAGAAAAGAAGACCAAACGATATTGAACCGGCACGCACACCTTTCTCCGTGCACATGTGGCGCAACGGATGCTAACACCATATTAGTTTCTCGTGCACATGAAACCCAACACCCAACAAAGGCGATCGTGCACAGACCGCCCTAACCTATCTTATGTGTGCATACGCTTTCGATGGCAAGCTTTTTGATGCTATCTTGTACAGAAACCGACCCTACCGTGAATCACGAACGCCTGTTCCGGGAACGTGCTTTGTCTGAGAGCCTGTTACTAGAAGCGCCTTTGGGGATCCAGGGTTAGGGTTTAGGGATGGTGAAAGTAAGTCGTGATCATAAGGCTACTCCGGGCCAAAGTACATACTGTTTGGATCCCTGGAGCTCTGAGAGGCTGAGTATCCTAACCCAAAATGTTAACCTTAGTTACTGTAGGGCTATATAAGCCCCCAAAAGGTTTACGACCGAGCAAAATCACGAGACTAGCGCATCTTGTGCCCAACGACTATGAACAGCGACTCTATCACAGAAAATCTGAGCAAAGTATAAGCAATATACCATAATATGCACTTCATAGTAAGGAATAGGACCAGTTTCCGAAGCCCCAAATTCTGAACCTTTCAACTGTTCCCCAAACCATCAAATCGGGAGTTCACCGAAGTTCCACCAATCAGAGGAATCTTTCTAACGAAGCAGCCACAGCTCTGTTCCAGCGAGAAACCCCTGCACAAGTACCTGGCCCCGGGGTCCACATACGCATTCGGGTTTCTTTCTACGATTTGGTAAGTTGGAAGGTCGACAGGCTTTGGCCTCAAAGGGGTTCCTATGTGTAGATGCTTCAGCATCGAAGTATACACACTAGATTTGAAGCCCTTAGGGCAGGAAAACCAAATGCCCCCTTCTTCAGGGTCACCATAGAACCAGACAACACAAGGGGCTCAGAAAACTGAAACGTAGTTTAGGGTCTTGGACCTGCTATTCCGCGTAGCCTAGCCACCAAACTGTGAACATTTTTGGTTTGGGGTTTATGCAATGTTGGGGGTTAAGGGCTTAGGGTGTGCACAGGCACTAAACGGCTAAACTTAAACCCTGAACCGTCAGCCCCCTAAGCCCCAAACCTCAAATCCCAAACCGGGCCCTCCTTGTACTTCTCCGTGAGATTCTTCAGGAGCTCCGGATCGCTGTTCTCAATGGCCTCACCGTTTGGGGTTTAAGAATCCGATAAGAAGCGCGGATAACCAAATGGGAGTTTCCGAAAATCACAGACCCCAATATAGTACCCCAAACAGCATATTATAAGGACCACAAAATACGGCACGCCCCTAAACCCTAAAACCCTAAACCCTAATTTTCCGAAAGTCCCAATAAAGGGACTACATGCCAGGGCCTACTGATAATTTTCCATTCGCCCAAATACGGCTGATGCTAAAAATCATGCATTACGTTAAGGACCCTAAACTATGAGAATCTAACTCATGAACTGTCTGTAGTAAATACTTTGGCCTGAAATTTAGTCCCTATCTAGGTAGGATGGGGCAAAGTACATAGGCAAAGGGACCGTTAAGCTCTAGGACCCTAAACCCTGAACCCTAAACCCTAAACCCTATACCCTAAACCCTAAACCCTTAAAGGAACCATCTATAGGAGCCCATGGACCCTCAATGACTGGGTAACCCCATAAGGGTGCCGCCGAAGATCAGATTAGAGTCAATGAAACCACAGACTCAACCAACAACGGGGCCCAGGTGGGGTCAACGGGTTGGGGTTCGGGGTTTACGGGCCAGGGCTTTGCAGTTTCGGTGTTGAGGGACTTGAGGGCAAGTGTCTGGGGTTTAGGGCAGTGGGGGCTCGAGTTACGAACCTCACAATCCCCAACAGAAACCCATTGCACAAAAGCCTTGGCCCTGAACCCTCTAATCCTCCAAAAGGGATCTACAAGGGGTTCTAGAGAGTTTCCACACGGGTACTATAAGGGTACTTGGAGGTGCATGGGACTTAGTAACTACAGATACGAGTACCGTACCTTGGGTTAGAACCAATCATAAGTAGAGTTACCTCTGTTATAACCATAGTCACCCATTCCCATAAACCTTGACTTAAGTAATCCCTCGTTACAGCACAATTTAATTTAATCCGGAAATCACGACAAGTCCTAAGATACTTGGGTAGTTGTCAAAATTAGGGTCCCTTTTTGGGTACCCTAAATAATAGGTGCCGTATTATATAAGGGACCCAAAAAGGGACCCTAAGTTTGACAACCACCCACTTGTGTCTGAGCAGGCCACCCAGTGCAGCAGCTCGCTCATGGGATCTGTCTGTCCTCCCAACTCCTCGCACATCCCAGAGCTTTGTTTCGAGGATTCCTTAGAAGGGGCCACCACCCTGTAATAGTGACTATAAGGATTATATTAGGGCCCTATTACATCCCTATTATACCACTATTACAGGGTGGGGGCAGCTCCTAAAGGATACCTCAAAACTCCAGAAACAAATTGAGTTCGGGCTCCTTGCAGTAAGGATCTTAGTCCTACTTTGTTTCCAGGATTCTTCAAACCTCCATAAAAATTTGAGTTCGGGCTCCTTGCAATAAGGATCTTAATCCTACGTTGTTGGAGTGGAAGAACGATTCCCTACTGTCTGAAACTCGCATGAAGGCGGACTTTGATTAACCGGGTCCATAGTGGTTGATAGACCACTCCTTGAATCCTAAACTCTAAAGGAACCCCAAGATCCTAAACCGTAACTCAAAACCCGAAACACAGGACTCCTCTTTCACAGTCATTTCGCCATATCCCTAAACCCTGCACTTTAAAACAAAAACGTAATGCTCTTTCTACCATCAGGTGTCCAGGAGGGTACCTAAAGACCTAACGAGCCCACCCGAGTTCCCGGTTCCATGTCTATACAGGGATCCAGGCAATAAGGGTCCGGCTACTGAGGGCCTACGTCAACTAGACTTTAGAAGCTGCCCCCACCCTGTAATAGTGACCACAAGGATTATATAGGATTATATTACGAAACCCTATTATATTCCTATTATACCACTATTACAGGGTGGGGCAGCTTCTAAACTAGACTGAACTTTCCGCGTTCAAGACGTCATCAAAAGCCTGCTTGTCTCCAGATTCCGAGCCGAAAACAGACAACCCTAAACCCTAAATCCTAAACCCTAAATCCTAAACCCATGAGGACTCAAGAAAAGGGAGTCATACCCTTTACATCCCTAAACCCTAAACCCTTAAACCGAGGGAGTCAAACCCTATACATCCCAGAGAGGCAGCTTGCGGTTCAGCGTCAGCCGTTCGAAGGCTAACCGCCACCCTGCCCCCCGGTAATTCCTGCTCGGTTTAGGGTTTAGGGATTTAGGGGTTTAGGGTTAGTGCTTGCTGGCATCTTGTTCAAGAGCATCATGGTACATTTAACAAACAGTTCAGAAACGTACAAGCCCGACGCGCCCCTTTGGGATCCTCCCTTTTAGCTCTTAAATCAAAAGTCCCCTAAGGCACCATGTACCTATATACTAGGTTGCTGAGAAGCCCCTTTGCAACAAGGGTACACTTTTTCCTACTGTTCAGTTCCAATTAAGGGGATCCACTAAAATAAAAAAGCGCAAGCGGGTTATACTCAGGAACCTAGTAGAGTAAAGTATATATGTAGGAGTTAAAGGGGATCCTATATAAGTATGATTAAGTCCGTCAAGACCTAATTAAGCAATACTTGTCAGGGTACATGGAGCCTTGTGGCTACAAAGATTTGAAAGCAGAAAGCCCAGCCAGAAGCCAGCTCTAAACCCTGAACCTCGAACCCTAAACCCTAAACCTTAAACCCTAAACCCTGAACCCTAAAACCTAAACCCTGAACCCTAAAACCCAAACCAGCCAAACCTCCGCAAGTCCTGCGCAGGCGGATCGGCTTCGGGCGCTTGGACTGGCCTTCGGCTTTGCTCTTGTGGATTTTGAAGGTAGAAATTCTGACCCTAAGGGTCCATGTACCAAACTGGTATAGATTTTGACCCCACACTACCTATGTGGGACTACTTTGTGGCCAAAGTATATACTGTTTGGGCACATGGACCCTTAGGGTAAGATCCCAGTTACCCAAGCATGCGGTGACAGCTATTGCTACATCAAACAAGGCTTAAATGGGTTTGGGATAGTGTGGGGCATTTAGGGTTTCAGGTTCGCTTTGGATCCCAGGGTCCCAAAACAGCACTGAGTCCTCCTTTATGCTGGAATAGAGCTGTGGTGCAGATTATTCTATAGGTAGCCCTAGGCACGACTGTCGACAAATGTCGATCTTAGGCCTCTAAATCAACCCGTGAGCCCTAAACCTACAACCCCTGAAAAGCCCCACATCCTAGATAAAACTAGTAAAGCCAAACGACCCCTCAGTACCCTAGAAACAAGCCCACCAGGACCCAACACCCCTGAACCGTACTATGGATCTACAACTTCTCAGACCTTGCAAAATTCTGTAGGTAAGGTAACTGACGAATTCACCTTAAGATAGATAGACCGATAAATAATGCTAGGTATATAGATAGGTAGGACCTCTACTATAGTTTAATGTATAACCCTCAAAACTTAAGATAATTAAAGGGATCTGGGAAGGTCTCTGCTCTAGACTCTACTTGGAGGATCATGGGACTTAGCAACTAAGGTTATAGGTACCTTGATTGGGGTTATAAGCAATTCTAAGTGAGTATGCTTACCTTATTTATAGCCCTAGTTACTAAGTCCCATAATCCTTTAAGTAGACCCCCCCATGGGAGCCAGATCCAATCGAATCCAATCGGAATGCTTAGGCCGGGACATCAAATCCATGCCCTGTGCCTGCAGCAGTTCCCAGAGACCCAATATCCCTTACATAAGGAATATTCCTTAAATCATATAAGGGATCCTACTATAATTTAAGGTATATTCCTTAATTTAAGGTATATTCCTTAATTTAAGGTATATTCCTTAATTAAGGGATATTGGAGTCTCTGGGTTTGGAGTTTCGAGTCAGGAGCAAACCGCGCTTTGAAACCGTGGGGCTGAAGGCTAGATGAAAAGCTGCGGGTTAAGGGTTTAGGGTTTAGGGATTAGGGTTTAGGGTTTAGGGTTTAGAGTTTAGGGATTAGGGTTTAGGGTTTAGGGATTAGGGTTTAGGGTTTAGGGATTAGGGTTTAGGGTTTAGGGTTTAGGGATTAGGGTTTAGGGTTTAGGGATTAGGGTTTAGGGTTTAGGGTCTAGATGAAAAGCTGCTAGTTCCCTAAGGCTCCATGTACCTTTATAGTAGATACTTAAGCCTTAAAGGGGTCCCTATATAGGTACTTTAAGGCCTAAGTATGTACTATATGCGTACATGGAGCCTTAGGGGTTTAGGGCTTGGGGTCTTCAGGCAGGATCATGGGTTGTTAAAACCGCATCTATCGGGCTACTTTGGCCGTTCGACTAGCGTAAGACGTGCGCAACCGAACACGTATACAGGATCTACAAATACACAGTAGCACTATCTTTGTGTTTGCGAATTTTCAAGGCCGAGGGGTGAGAACTGAGCAGGACAAAGCAGAGACCAATGAATAAAAAAGGATCCGATGAGAACACCTGAGGGCCCAGCACTCAATCCTCGAAACGACACTGAGGCCGCGGATCTTTGCTGTAAACACCGAAATCGACTCAAAACCCTTCAGCCCAAACCATAGAACCCGTATACTTCCTTGCTCACAACTCCGAATCCTCTAAATCTTGGGGTGACCTATGCAATGGACGCACTTCTGCCCGGTATGCCTCTTTAGCTTTAAACCCTAGCACTCCAAGTATACAAATCGTACCCACTTTGGAGTCTAAAGTGCATTAATTAATTGTTCTTGCTTTGGAGTCTTAGGGTCTGAGGGGAAGCCTGACAGGCTGCAAACAATGTCCCGTGCCGGGCAGGGATGTGTGCAGCAGCCGTAGACCCAATCAGGCATGTCCACGTCCGACAGACAGAAGAACTCGGGCCAGTCAAGGCCAGGCATCACTTCGAGTGATGGTGCGGGAATCGGGCCTTTTACATCTACATCCTAAACCATTCCTAAACCCTAAACTTCCCCCAACACCTTCGTCCAGGGCCCAAGGACCCTGAGCAGGGCACTCGGGTCGAAGACGGAACCCTAAACCCGAAACCCGAGCCATGCAGGCACTGCGCCCGAGCGAGCCTGACCGTTACAATGCACTGGTGTAGTTGCATACGGGAAGGCAACACGCTGGTTAGGGATCCTACTAAAATGTTAATGTAAATGGGTGATTGTCAAAATTAGGGTCCCTTTTTGGGTCCCTATTATAATACGGCACCTCATATTTAGGGTACCCACAAGGGACCCCAATTTTGACAACCACCCATATTCCTTAATTGAGGGATATTGTAAAGTCTGGGTGCCACGCAAGACCCGAACCCTCGATCCGGAACAAGTCTCGCCATTCTTCGATCAGCAGAATGCCTTCAGAATCTCTTTAACAACTTAGAGGTTCAGTGGGCTTAGTAACTAGAGTTATAATGAAGGTAACTGCAGCTACATGTTCTTATAATCCCAAGTAGGGTAACTGTACTTACTCAGTCCCATGGACCTCCAAGTAGGCGGCTCCTAGGGAACTACAGGTTACTCTTTGGGACTAAGCAGGAATGATAACACCCTCAAAATGTCAAATGTGAAACGTTGCATACTCTAGTACCAAGATACTGATGCCACCCCACTGTAAGCTACTCTAAAACCCACAACCTTAAACCCCTAAACCCTATTTGTAGGCACCCCTAAGGCCTATAAGTATATACCACATAGGTACTTCGACCCTTAGGGAAAGCGAACTGGTCAATCTCTCGCACTTCTGAGGCGATGGCCCATGCAGAACACACCAAAGCCTGCTCGGAGGTCCACGGGATTTGGTAAGTAGGGCCGGGCTTGTTAAGGGCATTTTAGGGTTTACAAAAGGGCACTAACAAGGTTCTATGGGGTTGAAGGGCTTAGGGCACTAAGTAAGAATTTGCAATTGTAAGTAACCTATTTGGAGTTAACTTTTGATTCTGAGTATACCTACCTTATCTATAACCCTGGTTATTGAGTCCCAAGAACCTTTGAGTGCATCTGACATTTAAACCGGCTCTGGTTTCTTTTCCTTCTCCGCGCTTGGGTATAGTTTCTTCTTGCTGGAGGGAGTTTGGGTTCAGGGTGCGGGTCTTCTTCTCATACTCGACGGCAGGGTATCGTTTAGGGTCTGCACAACCGCCTTTATGGCTGTCGTGCCTTAGCCTGAGAGGAACCGCACTGAAAGCGGGTACTGCAAAACCCAAACCCGAAGCACGTAAATCCTCAAACCAAAGACCGCACCCTAAAAACCTCGTGCAGGCGTTTTGGTTTGGGTTGTCTTATAAGGTCTTGGGCTTTAGGGCTCCATGCTAAGATTGGAAGTTCGAGCTGGGCATCGGGTACGTAAGGATGTGCGGGAGGAGGGTCGGGGGGTTATGGGCCAGGTGCTTGTGGCCTGTGATATATATATATATATATATATACATATATATATATATATATATACATATATATATATATACATATATATATATATATATATATATATATATATATATATATATGCCCGGCACCTGCCACCCCTTCCCCGGAAACTCGGAAAGCCCAATCAAAAGGGTACCACAACCATCCATGAGCACGAATGAATCCCTGAAGAGAAGACTGGCTTTGCCGAGGAGTTTTAATATTCATAACGTAGGCCCGCAATCGAGAAATCATTGTATTCATGTGTCAGTACAGCGACGCTGGGCTAATTTTGCATACTATAGGGGCCTAAATAACTACCAATACCATTTTGGGGGCTTCTCTATTATAATTATAGTATAATGGGCCCCAAAACTCTCTTCTGATTAGTAAGGCCCCTATATTAAGCCCCCATTATTATAATCCTTATAGACCCCCTTTAAAAGGAAGCCTTAAAGGAACCGTCTTCTGATTCTTAAGGCCCCTACATTAGCTTCAGCCTTCAGAGCCCTTTCGACTCAGTCCATGGCTCCTACACGCCCCAGAAGCTCCATGCACCCATATAGGGTTCCTTTAAGGGTTCCTTTAAGGGTTCCTTTAAAGGGGTTCTATAAGGGTTCTTTAGGGTTTTGGGCGTAAGGCTCCATGGTACCCATATATGGGTGGTTGTCAAAAATATGGCCCCTTTTTGGGTACCTTAAATAATAGGTGCCGTATTATAATAGGGACCCTAATTTTGATAATTACCCGTATAGCACATACTTCGGCCTTAAAGTACCTATATAGGGACCTCTTTAAGGCGCACGTACCGAAATAGGGACCCCTTTATGGCTCAAGCACCTTTCTAGGGACCCCCTTAAGGCTTAAGCATCTACTACAAAGGTGGCCCTTGAAAGGCAACTGTACCGACGCAAGTCCCGAGCATACCTTTTAGGGTTTTGGGTCAGACAACCGGCAGGGAACCACCAGATACCGCATGGGCATTAATTAGGTGCGAGCAGGTTTGGAAGTCCATCGTAGTTAGTTACCACGTTCAAAGCGGATGGTCAAGGAAAAAACATGCTCTTTACCTAGACTCCTCCATCACCTCCTCTAAACTGACGCCAAACTTAGTGTAAGGCTCTTCGGAAAGAACGTGCCTGAAGCACAATCACCACGAGCAAACGGCATGCCATGGCTGCAAGCAGAGCAGGCTATCGGTTTAGGTGTTAGGACGGATGGTTTGCTGTCCACTGCTTAGTCCCTAAACCCTTAACCCAGGGCTACGGCTATGGCTGGTTCTTTGGGCTAGGAGGGTTCAGGGTAGGCCTGTGGGTTGACGGTCTGAGGGTTCAGGCTCTAGGGCGTTTAGGATAAGGGTTTAGGGCTAAGGATCTATACGGCTTTTATCGGATTCAGGGCTTGGGGCCGTTTAGGGTTTGCAGGGCTTAGGCCATAATATGTGAGTGGGGACTTCAGATGTGGGCTTGTCTTAGGCAGAAGTCTCGCCAGTTGCACTTCAGATCTTTCGGCTTCGGTCCGGGTCGTCGGCTCGGTCAGCGTTTAGGGCCTTAGGGTCTAGGGGTTTAGAGTTCAGGGCTCATACGGTTGATGATATACATCTTGCATTACCTCAGGGTCCCGAAACTATGGGACCTATGGTATATTCCTTATTGTGGTTGGTGCAGGATTTGTATCATCAACCGTACTTTAGGGTTTGTAGAGCTTCTAGGGTATTGATTGCTCAGCTTCTTGGTTCGAAGACTGGCCATCGACCTACCCTGTCGTTCCCAAGGTATACCCTATGCTTCCAGGGACCGTATTATTGGGTCCTTAAGGGATCTAGGGCCCTAACTATACGGTCCCTGGAAACATAGTCGAATGTCACCTACTGAGCGAAGCCTGATACATAGGCCTTCAAAGTTTGAATGGGGCTCCGGGTACATTATAGTATGGAGGTGCAGGCTGGTCTGTCTAAAGCTCTGCGGAATCATAGTCATAGTTTGAGGCCTCTGGGTCCACGAAAACTATACTACAGAAGGATTTGGGATTTTGGGCTGTTTTGAGCCGTAGCCTAGGATTTCGCCGTAGATGAGGGTGCAGGAGTTGGGCTAGTTATGATTCAAGGTTTGGGGTTTGGGTTTGCAATAACAAGTAGGGGTTGTTGGAGTTTTCGGATTGGGGTTTTCGAGCCCCTACGCCTTACCTACTTGTCGGGTATCGTGGGTAACAAAAGGTTAACCTTTTCGGTTATATGGGGAGTATATAGGGACTATACTACCCCAAAAAGGTTAAAGGTTACCTACTCTACTACTAGGAGAAGCTACGTTAGGGGTCTAGGAGGGTTTAGGGTTTAGGGTTCATGGCTTAATTACTGTGCTCGGATTAACATTGTGTCTACGGTTACCTACTCTACTACTAGGCTTATATCCCAAGCCCACATTGTGGGAACAACCATAATTCTGGCTTCGGCCGGCCCTTCCGGCTGAGAGTTTCAGTTGAGGGTTTAGGGGTTTAGGGTTTAATTAGGGGTTGAGGGTTTAGGGTTTAGAGAATGATTAGCTATGGACCCTGAACCAGTATTTGGTGCAGTCTTCCTGTCGTAAGCGGCTTGGCGATCCGAACTGCGAAGCTACCAGACTTTTCGTTTTCCGAGGCAGCATGCGGTGGGAAACCTAGCATTCAGTGAGGCATTCAGGTGCATTCACACACTTCTCTAGGCATACTAGCGCCAATCTTTGCGGCGCTGACGATCATGCCAACTGTCTCAGCATCCGGATTATGGAGCGGAGCCAACTGCTGCTATTATGAGTCTGCACCTGAAGCCCCGCCGGTCGGAGAGTGATCTACCCCTCAACTTGCCACTCAGAGCAACGGGGAGAAGCCCTCCCGCATGGATCCGAAACCCTGATGGGAGTTTCTCAGAAGGACGAATCTCCATCCCGGGTGCAGTACATAGTTCGGGGCCTAGGCAACCAACAGCAGGCCGCCTTTAATCTAGTTGTGCAACAGCCTTCTGAAAAGCGGATTATGTCGCGATAATGACTTGCACGATCGGTATCTGTAATGTCCGCGTGCTCTCATTTTTGAGCTCAGGTTGTTAGGAGAAACTCCCTTATCCATCAGCGTTGGGCACCTCTTTGGAGAGCAGTGCACGTCATTCCTCCTGCCTGGGGCACGGGACAAAATGGAAAGGGGCAAGATGCAGTGGTTAAGCTTGACAGTCTGGTTTGGTGTTAAGTAGTGAAGAACCGAAATCTAGGTCTAGCGGTTAACCCGAAATGAACTCAACAATGCTGTGGGTTCTTCGTTGCTCCTGCCACACCGTTCCATGGCCATGAACAGCTCGTCCGAACGAAGCCACTGCAATCCAGGATCTATACAGTAGTTCCCTAAACCCCTAAACCCTAAACCCTTAAAACCCTAAACCCTAAACCGTGGGTTCACGCCGACGGCCCGAATGCAGCTCCAATGCTTTGCTTATCAGAATTCATCGGCGTAGGGTCCCCCTGGGTCACGTACGGGTTTAGGGTTTAAGGGTTTAGGGTTTAGGGTTTAAGGGTTTACGGGTTTAAGGGTTTAGGGGTTTAGGGTTTCGGGTTTAAGGGTTAAGGGTTTAGGGTTTTAGGGTTTAGAGTTCCGTGTAACTGTACAATAGATACGTCGGCCCCAAAGTACCTAGATAGGGACCACTTTAAGGCCAAAGTATATACTAGTTGGGCACATGGACCCGTAGGGGTAGGATCGTCGGCGCTGGAATACCGATGTGGGGCTACTTTAAGGCCACGCTATGTACTTAAATCTTTGCAGGCGCATAGTAGTATCCGAAAATAGGGGGCCCTAACCAAGTACCCTAAACAGTAGGATCCTTATTAGAAGGATCCCTAAATAAGGCACCCCTCCCCCATTTTCAAAAACTCCCACATGGACCCTGAGGGGACGAGGATGAAGCAGGTTACCCTCACACCCACCTACTGTACAATTCAGGCATTGGTTGGACTACGTGGGTAGTTGTCAAAATTCTGGCCCCTTTTTGGGTACCCTAAATATTAGGTGCCTTATAATAAGGGCCCACAAAGGCACCATAATTTGGACAACCACCCACGTGAATCCGGCCAGTCCACAGAAGAATCGTAGCTAGAGAAATTTACAGGGGGCCCTTAGTTGTAGCTCTTTATTCTGGAGAAACCTCTTCTCTTGTTAAGCTCAGGTGTCGAGCCGTCGAAACCACAACTACGTTACAAAGCGACCATGAATCTGGTCTTGATGAAACATCAACATCAGCAGCAACGTTATCAACGACATGATTTCGATGTCGCCACCACAACCGGCCACAAACCACGACAACCTACACTAAGGCTCCATGTACCCATATAGTATGTAGGTAGGCATTAAAGTACCTATATATATATATATATATATGTATACATACATGTACCCCTTTAAGGCTTAAGTATCTACTATAACGGTACATCGAGCCTTTGGGCTATCGAACAAACGACACAATGTACAGACAAAAAGTGCTGGAGCAGCTGCAGCTGCAGCCAAGGCAATGACGAAACGTCAACAGCCGTTCTACCAGCCCCACCATAGCCACCATCACCACAATGACCACCGTAAGCACCACCACCACCAACAACAACAACAGAAAGAATTGAACACAAGAAGCAGCAGCAGCAGGAGGTGCAGCAGCACTAGCAAAAACAGTAGACTCTCATCCTAGTCCTTATTCCTTATTCTGATTGTGCCGCCGGCATCGCCGACATGATCTTCATCGTGATGATCGAACCTCGAAACCCCTAAACCCGAAACCCCGAAACCCCTAAACCCGAAACTCCGAAACACCTAAACCCTAAACCCCTAAACCCGAAACCCCTGATCTGCTTTATGGTAGGCATTTCTTCCACTTCTTCGAGCTCACACAACCATGCATCGGCGAAAATCCACACACTTCCGTTGCTGCCTCCTTCACCTGCCTTGGCCTGAACAAGGTAGAAAGCAACTCGCTTCTGCACAGCTAAGCTTGGGTCAGAAGTCGCTCCACCAAATGCAAGAAGAGTGAGCCCGTTTTGATGCGCGTCCACCACTTTGATGTCTTGAATCGGCTCGCTGCTGCGTACCGATTCACGACACTCGCCGAGTTCCACAATAGTGCCGACTAAAGTTCCGACCCAGGGCACCGTTGTAACCAAAATGTCGCGAAAATTCGCGATGGTCTGGTGCGCAGCCGGCTGGTGGTGCAAGACCTGCGCCTTCTCGATAGTTAGTTCTGTGCGCGACGTGCTCTGCAGTTCACAATAAGGCCGCAGGACTTTGTCCTTCGGAGACACAATTTCCACATTGGTAAGGTGCACCTGTCATAGGGCCCCGTCTGCATCGGCATCAAAAGCGTCTTGCAAGGCACCGTAATACCGATCCACCAACCAACCTACCGTACAATTCAGGGCATCGGTTGGACTGCCTGAACCGCACCAGTTCACAGAAGACTCGTAGCTATAGAAATTTAAAGGGGGCCCTTAGTTGTAGCTCTTTATTCTGGAGAAACCTCTTCTCTTGTTAAGCTCAGGTGTCGAGCCGTCGAAACCACAACTACGTTACAAAGCGACCATGAATCTGGTCTTGATGAAACATCAACATCAACAGCAACGTTATCAACGACATGATTTCGATGTCGCCACCACTACCGGCCACAAACCACTACAACCTACACTAAGGCTCCATGTACCCATATAGTATGTAGGTAGGCATTAAAGTACCTATATATATATATATATATATATATATATATGTATACATACATGTACCCCTTTAAGGCTTAAGTATCTACTATAACGGTACATCGAGCCTTTGGGCTATCGAACAAACGACACAATGTACAGACAAAAAGTGCTGGAGCAGCTGCAGCTGCAGCCATGGCAATGACGAAACGTCAACAGCCGTTCTACCAGCCCCACCATAGCCACCATCACCACAATGACCACCGTAAGCACCACCACCACCAACAACAACAACAGAAAGAACTGAACACAAGAAGCAGCAGCAGCAGGAGGTGCAGCAGCACTAGCAAAAACAGTAGACTCTCATCCTAGTCCTTATTCCTTATTCTGATTGTGCCGCCGGCATCGCCGACATGATCTTCATCGTGATGATCGAACCTCGAAACCCCTAAACCCGAAACCCCGAAACCCCTAAACCCGAAACCCCTAAACCCCCAAACCCCTAAACCCCTAACCCTCTAAACCCTAAACCCCTAAACCCCTAAACCCTAAACCCGAAACCCCTAACCCTCTAAACCCTAAACCCCTAAACCATAACCCTAAACCCCGAAACCCCTAACCCTCTAAACCCTAAACCCCTAAACCCCGAAACCAAGATGCGTCTGCCGGATCGGCGTGGGAAGCAGCCATCTCCAGAGCGGGCCCCGGCCCATGACTTCCTGCAGGCGCTTAAGGGATCCCTTCAAGGGTTTGGGACTTAGTAGGGTTTGGGGGTTAGTAGGGTTTAGGGTTTAGGGTTTAGGGGTTTGGGGGTTTAGGATTTAGAGGGTTAGGGGTTTAAAGGTTTAGGGTTTAGGATTTAAAGGTTTAGGGTTTAGGGTTTAGGGTATAGGGTTTAGTACGTCGGTTATAAGTAGAGTTATAAGTGCCCTAAATGGAGTTACACCAATTATAACCCTACTTATAAATTTAGGATAAGGGCCTTAATAAATAGAAAAGTGCTTTGGGAGATGACTTCCTTCAGGCTCTTAACCTCAAGGGTTTGGGGGTTTAGGGTTTAGGGATCTAAGATAGGGGCCTTAATAGTTAGAACAGGGTTTTGGGGGTCCGTTACACAATAATTGTGCTGTTCACCCAGGGGTCCATATGAACTACTACTATGATTTTAGGCCCTAAAAGACCATCCCCATGATGGTTTTGGGGATTTTACTCCACAGTATAGTAGTATAAAAGGACCCTCTTGGTAAGAGATCCCTCCTTCAAGGGTTCAGGGGTTTAAGGAAGGGGAACCCCCCTGTTAAGGGACCCCGTCAAGAATTTAAGGGGTTTTAAGGGTTTTAGTGATGTGGGAGTTTCCGAAAATTAGGGGTACCGTACTTTGGGTTCCTTATAGTTAGAAGGGTACTATATTAGGGTCCCCTATTTTCGGACACTCCCATGTAGGAGCCAGTCAGGGTTTCTTCGATTGAGTGTTGGGGGCTTCCGAGTCTCGAAAGTACGGCTCTGGCTCTGAGGGTCTGGAAGCTCAAGGTTTGGGGTGTAGGGTTTAGGGTTTTAGGGGTTTAGGGGTTTAGGGTTCAGGGTTTAGGGTTTAGGGCTTTAGGGTTTGAGTCTAGAAGCTCAAGGTTTGGGCATGTTGACGTCGTATAAGGTCCTGGGACTGAGCACTGCGAGCTGAAGGTTTAAAGACTGGGTTTAGGATGGTTGAGAGGGGCTTTGGGTTTTTAACGTCTCGGGGATTTACTGCCAATGTCGGATTCAAAGTCTGGTGGACCTTCGAACCAAGGTTCACTGTAGCTTTATAGGATAACGATGAGAAGGTTTAAACGGCGTTAGAGCAGTGCAGTAGTCAAAGCTAAGCGGTCTTAGGGGCTGGCGTTTTGGGATTTCGTGCATTTAGGACTGCGAAAGGCGGCCTCAAATTCTAACCTCAACACTACAGCGCATAACCTTTGGCAATGCCTTGTAGAACCCGCATACAAAGAAACAATCCTTATTGAAATCTTGCAAGCGATCCCTATACCCCCAATTCCACATTGAACAACAACGCATGGGCCTGGACCGACTCGCGCCATGGCCGTTGCTGCGACTCCCTCCCTTTCAGCACATCGATACCTTCCCAAAGGGCACGAGCAATAGTATAGTATGATGTACATGTCGGGTCCAAAAATCTACGAAGGAGCTACTAACTATACAGTAGAAGCCAGAAAGTTGGAATATCATTATCGTAACCCCTTTAAGGTAAATTATAGGGGATCCTACCATTAATCCATATCTGGAGTTCCCTTTAGTGGGACTTGGAGCCTTTGGGCTGTTGGCTTTTCAGGTTACCGGGTTTGTGGGGCTCTACTCAGAGGGTCATCTCCTAGCCCTTTTGTAGGGTACCTAGTTTTATGGTTAGGGCCTGTTAGAAAGAGAAGTAGGTACCCTAACATGGGGGTCGGGTATGACCCTCTCGGTAGTGTTCCCTAAGGGTCCATGTGCCCAAATAGTGTATACTTTGGGCCCAATGTACCCATATAGGGAGTACTTTAAGGCCAATGTATATACTATTAGGGGTTTTAATGAGTATGGTTTTATGGGGTGTTGTAACGTGACCTGCAGCAGGTTTCCAGTGTCTAGGTTTCGGGATTTTAACTTTTGAAGGACCGTAAGAAACCTTCGTTGTTAGGACTCCTTGTTATGATTCGCATGCATAAATCCTAAAAAAGGGTAGGCTAGCTGGGGTTTAGTCAGGGTTTAAGGTGGTCCTTAAGAAGGTAGGCAGGGCGTTTGGGATTAGGATTGTGCTTGTTGATTGTTAATGAGAAGTCGTAGCATCGCCAACAGAGTTCAATCGGGTTTCGGTTTCGGTTCGAGGAGCCCCTTATATGTCTAGGGTTAGGAGGTGTATGATATTGGAAAAACCAATTTTCAAGGTTTAATAAAGCTGACCGCTGCGCCCGTTTGTGGACAAGGTCAAGTTTAAGGGTATTTACAATTGGCAACATCATTTCGTCGTAAGACATCTTAACCCCAACACCATACCCCAGCGCTAAACGCTCAACCCTGCCAGTGATACTGCTGGTGACTCCGAATTCACAGCCCATCAAGTTCTAGTCTCCAGCACCCAAGATGCTCTTGGGTGTTAGCACAAGCGTGGAGCACAGGAGCTAGGAAAATGAAGTTTGGGCTGTAAAATATAGAGACAGAGAGGCCTAAGGTCTAGGGGGCTTACGCAGAAATCCACAACTTGAAAGATTGCAGGGAGTTTCGGGCTTGGCCTGTGACTTTAAATTAAAACCCTACAAACTAGTTGTTCATCACCGCTGAATTATGAAGATTTCCCCTGCAGCCCTAAACCCCAGGTTTTCGACAGGTAGGGCATGCGAGCCTAAAGCCCCCTCAATTACTCTGGGATCCCCAGCAGACTGGGAATACACGGCCCACCTTTTTGGTACTGGTTTAGGGTTCAGGGTTTAGGGTTTCGGGTTTAGGGTTTAGGGTTTAGGGAACCTAAGACCACGACCACGACAACGGGAAACAAGGCAATACTGCGAGACGTAGTACGCCAAGCACGATCCGTAAACTACAAAGCACATGAAGGCCAGGCCTGTCGTGTTGTTCGCTATGTTGGACGCCTTCATGCAAGCAAGCTTTCCATTGGAACCATGGTTTCCAGGTGTCATGCTTTAATATAGGGGCCTTGTAATCTATAATATTTCGGGGGTCGCATATTATCATTATGGTATAGTATGGGCGTTTCCGAAAATAGGGGACCAAAATATAGTACCCTAAATAGTCGGATCCTTATTATAAGGACCCCCCCAAAAAAAAAGAAAAAAGGTACCCCTAATTTTCGGAAACTCCCATATACCCCCCAAGCCCTATTCTAACCATAAAGGCCCCTACAGTATTCGGAAGACGTGTCGGGTCAAAGATCTGGGCTGCTTCACTCCTTGCAGATAAGCACAAGCCCAAAGGCTCCACGTACCTAGAAAGTAGATACTTAAGCCTTAAAGGTGTCCCTATATGGGTAGTTGTAAAATTATGATCCCTTTTTGGGTACCCCAAATATAAGGTGCCGTAGTATAATAAGGACCCAGAAAGGTACCCTAATTTTGACAACCACCTAATATAGCTACTTTAAGGCCTATCCAGAGAGCTCAATACCCCTTAATTAAGAAATATGGTCTAAATTATATAGGGCTTCATATTATGATTTAAGCTATATTGCTTAATTAAGGGATATTGGGCTCTCTGGGTAAGCATATACTATAAGGGTACATGGAGCCTTAGGGAGGTAGGGTCGATCTGCCCATTGCTGACCCCAGCACTAAAAAGAGGTGCATCGTACTCGTGCGATCTTTTATGTACCGAGGGTTCATAATACCTAAACCGCAAACCCCTAAACCCTCATCCCTAAACCATAATGATTACGGCCCAGCCCTGCTCCTACAGCTTCGCCCTCCCATGCATAAGCCCTGCGATTTGGACCCGTGATTTTGGGTTTAAGTTTACGGTTTAGGGTTGCAGGGTTGCGGAGTTCTTCAGGATTCGGAATTTAGGAATCTAAACTATAGAAAACTGAACCCTAGGCCCTAAACTCTCTGGGTTTAGGGTTTTGGAAAAGACAACACTTATCGGGAGATCACTGCTTAAAGGCTTCAAGGCAGGGCTGCGCTGGCCAGAGAGGGCGGTGTACTGAAAGTTTGATGGAACGTAGTTTGACGGCGTGGATTCCAGCGGACATAGGACTCCTTGCATTTACGGCCATGCTATCCACTTCGCCATGTTTTTCTGTCGCCAGTTGAAGTATTACGAATCGGAATGCACCGAAATCTAGGTCGTGAAGGCCTGGCTCATGTGTAAAATTGAACAGGGTTTCGGTGGAAATTGTGGTACAGTTGCCTTTAGGAATGCCGTTGAAATTGAGCAATCCGTAGGTTCCTTTATTCGGAGATTTGGAGATCACAGCGCAGAGTACTGAATGTTGGAATGCACAAGACTCCAAGGACCCTTAGTTAGGTCTCCCCTTTAAAGGAGCCCTAAAAATCTTTCAGGTTGTTGGTGCCAGACCTCAACGTCGAGCTTCGTTTTGCCACAGGGGTTGAGGGACAAGACCCTTCAATCCCAATGTTCACAGGATTGAGGTCCTAATCCCGCAGTTCTACAGCTTGAATCATCGACCTGGACCCTCAACCCTAAACCATCCTAGACCCTGAATCGTAAACCCTCAAACCCAAGCCCTAAACCCTAGACCTGAATTCCCCCCAAAACCCTGAACTGAGCTTTTAGATATGGATGCAAAGATGCCCAAGTCCCGCCGTCAAGAAGTGAAGATGACGAAATCCTGCAAAGCCACCAAAACCCGAAGCCCTAAACCCGAAAACCCCTAAACCCTATAACACTAAAACTCTAAACTTTCCCAAGAAACCCTAAACCCTAAACCCTAAACTTCTGGCCTGATCGCAGAACATGATGCTCGTAAACAGACCGAAGATGATGGCGACGAAGAAAATAAGCACCTGAGCAGCTAGGAGTTTAGGTTTTGTTTCTTTAGGGTTTAGGGTTTAGGGCTCAGGGTTCAGTACGGGTTGAGGGGTTTAGGGTGGCTTTTTTGCTTAGGTGTTTGCCGCGATTTACTTAAAGTTTGGTTGGGGCCCTCTATGCACCCATGCCTGAGACCCCCATCCCCCCCTGAACCCTTGATCCTTCTCCTAAACAAGCTGCACTCCTTATAGTTTACAGCTCCCTTGAAAAGAACCCTTATAGAACCCCCCCGCCCCCCCTCCGGTTTTTAACGACCCGGTCAGAAGCAGAAAAGGATCGAGAATCGAAATCCCACGCTGAGGGCTTTCCCAAAAGGTCCATGTACCCAATTAGTAAGTACTTTGGCCTTAAAGTAGGTCCCTACATAGGTACCTTGGGGCCAAGGTGGTACATAGACCCTTAGGGCTACATGGGTCCATGATGCAGAAGTCGGGGTTCAGGGTTTGTGGTTCAGTGTTTATGGAGTGACTTGGGGTTCAAAGTCTATGGAGTAACTTGGGGTTTAGGGTTCAAGGCCTCCGGCCTATGGAGTATCTTAGCAAGCAGCGTTTTATACGGGCATCGAGTGGCCCCTGCTCAGCAAGAGCGACCCAATTCCTAAGCACTAAACCTCGAACTTGTTTTCGCAGCAGCTATTGGCCAGGGTTCCATAGGAGGAACTGATTAAGGTAACCCAAAGAAGGTACTAACTTGTTTTGGGGGGGTCTGAGCGTCGAACCCTTGAGGCAGACCTTAACCAACCCCTGTGAGAATCTCTTGCGCCTTTAACTAAACCCTACACCCCTAAATTCTAAACCCCCAGAATTCCTAAACCCCTAAGCCCCCTCCCCCTACACAAACCCTTATAGATACCTTTATAAAGGAACCCGAACCCCGAGAGATCCCTTCAAATTCGAACCCTGCTAGAGATCCCTGCAAAGGAATCCTAAGCCCCTGCCCCTTACAGTAAAACCCCATAAAGTTGGAATTGCATTAAGGCCAAATAGTGCTGGGATTCCCTATACATTACTCTGAAGGATCGATCTCGAGGCTATGGGGTTGCCAACTTTTGGGCTTCTACTGTAAACTCATAAAAGGCATAAACGCTAAACCCCTACACCCTAAACCCTAAACCCCCTAAACTTTTAGATCCCTTACTGTAAAGGGAGCCGTTAAGGAAGGGGAACCAGGCTCCGATGTAAAACTAAGGAACCCCCCCCCAGTCTGAGCGCGGGACGCAGCACAGAAGCTCGCCTTCCCCCTGGGCCTGCAGGGACCGAGGCTGCAGGGTTTGGGGAGCTTAGGGGGATCCTTAAGGGTTCCTTTAAGGGAACTGTATCTATATATATATATATATATATACATATATACATATATATGTATGTATATATATATATATATATATATATATATATATATATATATATATATATATGTATATATGTATATATATATATATATATATATATATATATAGGGTTTAGGGTTTAGGCATTTAGGGGTTTGGGGGATCCTGAAGGGTTCCTTTAAGGGATCTATCGGGTTTAGGGTCTAGAAATTTACGGGTTTAGGGGGATCCTTAAGGGTTCATTTAAGGGATCTATATGGTTTAGGGTTTAAGGATTTAGGGTTTAGGGCTTATAGCGGGCTTTAGGGTTTAGGGTGTGTAAGGGATCCTTAGGGGCTCCTTTAAAGGGATCTAGATGGGTTCCTTGAAGGGATCCTATAAGGGATCTATAAGGTTTAGAGGCTCAGGCTTTCGGGTTTGGGGATTTAGGGTTTAGGGTTTAAGGGTTTAAGGGTTTAAGGGTTTAGGGTTTAGGGCATAGGGTTTAGGGCTTATAGCGCGCTTTTGGGGGTTTAGGGTTTAGGGCTTATAGCGCGCTTTTGGGGGTTTAGGGCTTAGGGCTTGTAGCGCGCTTTTGGGGGTTTAGGGTTTAGGGTTTAGGGCTTATAGCGCGCTTTTGGGGGTTTAGGGATTAGGGTTTAGGGCTTATAGCGGGCTTTTGGGGGTTTAGGGTTTAAGGTTTAGGGCTTATAGCGCGCTTTTGGGGGTTTAGGGTTTATGGTTTAGGGCTTATAGCGCGCTTTTGGGGGTTTAGGGTTTAGGGTTTAGGGTTTAGGGCTTATAGCGCGCTTTTGGGGGTTTAGGGCTTAGGGTCAAGGCTTATAGCGCGCTTTTGGGGGTTTAGGGTTTATAATAGGGTCCTTCATAGTGGGTATTTGGGGTATCAGAGGGTAGTTGGGGGGTTAAGGCAGGCCCTGACAGCGCCTGGGTGTCTGCATCTCCCTTACCACCGAAAAAATCATAATAAGGAATCCTAGACATGTAGGTTATGTGGGGTCCAGGTAGACCCTAAACCCTAAACCCTGAACTCCCTACTTGTCAGGTATCATGGAGAACTGATTTAGTTCCTTTAAAAGGTTAACTTTTTTGGTTATGTAGGGAACACATAAGGACTATACGACCCAAAGAAGATTAAAGGTTACCTACTCTACTATTACAGTAAACCCCATAAAGTTGGAAACCGGATTAAGGCGAAATAGTGCTGGGATTCCCTATACATTACTCTTAGGGTTCGAGGCTATTGGGTTTCCAACTTTTGGGCTTCTACTGTAAACCCTAAAAGCCATAAACCCTAAACCCCTACACCCTAAACCCTAAGCCCCCCTAAACTTTTAGATCCCTTACAGGAGCCCTTAAGGAAGGCGAACCAGTCTCCGATGTAAAACTAAGGAACCCCCCCAGTCCGAACTTAAAGGTTACCTACTCTACTATTAGGACTCTACACCCTGAGCCCTGACAGTGCCTGGGTGCCCTAAACCTTAAACCATATAGCTATTATATACCCATTATATGGCCCAGTATAGGGTACGGGTCCCCATTAAGGGTCCTTTTCCCCTTGGATATTAGGACTCTACACCCTAAGCCCTCATATTCGGCGCCTGGGCGCCTGGGTGTCTGCATCTCCCTCACCCCCAAATGAAATCTATAAGGACTATACTACCCAAAGAAGGTTAAAGGTTACCTACTCTATTATTATATAGGACTCTACACCCTAAGCCCTCATGACGGCGCCTGGGTGTCTGCATGCCTCTTGAGCTCCTCCCTCCAGGCGGCCATGGCTTCTGGGTCCTGCGCGTCTCTTTTCTAACCCTTAGGCTCTAAGGACTCTCATATAGGGTTCTTCTAAGGGGATCTATAAGGGGTCCTTTAAAGGGATCTATAGGGTTCAGGCTCTAAGGACTCATATGTTCAGGCTTTTGGGCCCAAAGACCATACTATATTAGGCTTTTGGGCTATTTTGATGCCCAGGGTAAGGGTCCATGGTACCCAAATAGGATTCCGTGGAGTGTTCCTTTAAAGGGTTCTATAGGTTTTGAGATATAAGGGTATATGGTACCCAAATAGTATAGACTTTGGCCTTAAAGTAGTCCCTGTATAGGTACTTTGGGGCCAATTTATATACTAATTTTTACTACTTAGGTACATGGACCCTGAGAGTATGCTAACGAGGTCAATTGGGATGCAAGGTTTAGGGTTTAGGTTCGGTTGTAAGGAGGGTCCTGAAAAGAAAGCTTCGAAAAGAGATTGATGGGTTTTGTAATGTTTAGTACAACTTCTATGGAGTTTCCTTTTTGTGTAAGGTTTTACAGGGATTGCTGCAGATCCCACACCGGCCATCCAATGCCATAGGGCGCGGTTTAGACATTGCCATACACACTACTTTTTTGAAGTTATATTGAGAGGAGGCTTGGTTTCTTTTAGGGTTGAAGGGCATGGCATTAGCGCGTTTCGGTGGCTTAGTTCGGGTTTCCGGTAGAGGTAGAGGGTACAAGCTGCAAGCCCTACTTCCAGAGCTGACCAGTGTTGTCGGACTTGATCAATGCTTCCTCTTCTTTAAGACTTACAATTAGGTGGACCCTTGGGGATATAAACCCTCTCAATAAGGTCCCGTTGTAGCGGACCAGAATTAAATTTAAGAAGGGTCCCGTTAAGGGCTCTCCCTAATACTACCTAGGGTGCTTCTTCTTCTTCTTCTTGCGAACCGTGTTCGCAAGCCTGTTTATCCCCCGCTGAAACAATGACGAACACGAACTAGTTCTCTAGGGGAACTAGCGATTAACCTTTCGGATTGTACAAGGCTCATAATACCTCCAATATCAAGATTACCTACCCTACTGCTGAGATACTGATGCCACCCAACCACAGCAAGCAACTTAAACATCGAAACCCTAAACCCAACACCCAAACCCTGGAGCCTTAAAGCCTAAACCCTTACACAGCCCGGAGCCCTGAGCCTTAAACGAACCTATTACAAAGCCCTAAACCTGAAACGCTGAACCCGAAAACCGAAACCGTGAGACTTGAGCAACATAATATCCCATAATATACTATACCTTACTAGACTATACTCTACTATTATATATATATATATATATATATATAATCCCCTTGCCGTCCTCCTTGCCGAGGAAAGCCTTCGGTTTCCGAGGCCTCCAAGTGGAGTGCGTCTCACGTTGCAAACATCACAGGTTGGGTTTAGGGTTTAGGGTTAAGGACTAGGGTTAAAGGTTTAGGATCTAGGGTCTAGGGTTTAGGGTTTAGGGTTTACGGTTTAGGGATTGGGTACTGCCTCCATGCAGTAACAGTGTAGAATAGGGCTATGAGTAATATCCAACTGTTACTGAGTAGGGGCAGTACCCAAAATCACAGGCCTTGTGGCATTCAGGGTTCGAGTTCATGGTTGGGATAGTATTGAGAATTTAAATGTCTATTTCGTTATTGGGTTCAGGGACCCGTAAAAAGGCAAAATGTTACCCATTTATGACACAGACTAATATGATTTAAGGAATATTCCGTAATTAAGTGGTATTGGAGTCTCTGGCACCCAATGGCGACCGACTAACTCCTTAGCCCCCACGGTTTACCGTTTGGTCTAGGCTTGGGTTTAGGGTTTATGAGGAACTTGAAGAACCAACCGTTTTAGGGCTCCTTATTATGATTTCTTTATATGAGTCCTTACAAACGTAAGTTCTTCAGGGCCTAGGTAGGGTTTAAGGCAGAGCCTCAGCGCTGACAACCAAAAACAAAGCCTGAAGGGCGAGCACACTGCAGCTGCAAAAGCCAACCCCTGTTACCCGCTACCTTATGCCCATGCAACCCTGTACCAACGCTACATACAACTTGTAATACCCTAGGGCCCCACAACAAAAACCCTTACCAAATCTTACTAAAGCCATAACAATTCTAAGACTCTTTAAGATGCCCCAAGGCCTGAGGCCGTAAACACCACGCTCAAACCCCAAAGCCCTAAATCTAAAACCCTAAATTGCCTAAACTCTAGAAACCCCCAAAATCACAAACCCTAACCCCTAAAGCCCTGAACCCTGAAACCCTAAACTCCCTAAACCCTATAAAAATATGTAGGTCCCCTATAAAACCCATAAAGGTCCCTTTAAAGGAACTCTAAACCCCCACACCCCCCGAGCCCTCTGAGATGTGCCTCCTCGGCATGGTTCCCGCTGAATTGGCCTAGACACCGCAGCTTGCAGTTTAGGGGTTTAGGGTTTAGGGATTTTAGAGGTTTGGGGTTCAGGGATTTAGAGGTTTAGGGCTTAGGGATTTAGAGGTTTAGGGCTTAGGAATTTAGAGGTTTGGGGTTTAGGGATTTAGAGGTTTAGGGCTTAGGGAATTAGAGGTTTAGGGCTTAGGGATTTAGAGGTTTAGGGTTTCGGGATTTAGAGGTTTGGGGTTTAGAGATTTAGGGCTTTGGGGTTTGGGGATCTAGAGGTTTGGGGTTTAGGGATTTAGAGGTTTAGGGCTTAGGGATTTAGAGGTTTGGGGTTTAGGGATTTAGAGGTTTAGGGCTTAGGGATTTACAGGTTTAGGGCTTAGGGATTTAGAGGTTTATGGTTTCGGGATTTAGAGGTTTGGGGTTAGGGATTTAAAGGTTTGGGGCTTAGGGATTTAGAGGTTTAGGGCTTAGGGATTTAGAGGTTTAGGGCTTAGGGATTTAGAGGTTTAGGGTTTCGGGATTTAGAGGTTTGGGGTTAGGGGCTTAGGGATTTAGAGGTTTAGGGCTTAGGAATTTAGAGGTTTAGGGTTTCGGGATTTAGAGGTTTGGGGTTTAGGGATTTAGGGCTTTGGGGTTTAGGGATTTAGAGGTTTGGGGTTTAGGGATTTAGAGGTTTAGGGCTTAGGGATTTAGAGGTTTGGGGTTTACGGATTTAGAGGTTTAGGGATTTAGGGGTTTAGAGTTTAAGGCTTAGGGTTTAGGCTAGGGGTTTGGGGGTTTAGGGGTTTACCTGGGCCCTAAGAGGCTTACCTTTTTCGGGCTGCTTTTTCTTGTTTCCTTGTCTAAGTCCTAAAAAAGAATGCTCTTTAAGGTCTAGCTGGGGTTTAACCTTTAGTGGCCTAGGGTTTAGGGGGTGGTGTTTCGGCTTAGGATTCAGGGGTTCAGGGATTAGGGGGTAGCGTTGAGTGTTCAAGGTGAAGGCTTTACTTAGAGGTTCATCGGACTTAGAAACTAGAGTTATAATTGAGGTCAGTAAACTTATATGTACTTATAACCCCAATTAGGGTCCGTATAACTGTACTTACTAAGTCCCATGAACCTCCAAATAGAATAAGGATTATCAGGGTCTACCAGGCTCTCCAGTCGTTTCGTGTTTGGGCTTTTAGGGTTTAGGGTGTGGGGTTTAGAGTATTTTGCTTCGGAGTCCAAGTAACATAGGGTTCCGTATTAGGTGGTGAAGCATGTCTGGTGTTCTAGGGTTTAGAGCTTGATGGTCTAGGGGCTGGGGACTTTTTGGGTTTAGGGTTGTCGAGTTTCGGGATTGGGGATTGCACTTCTTTGCTTTTTGGGGCGTGAGGCGGTTGTTGGAGACTCTTGTACAGCGAGGCCTCGGGAAGCACTACATAGGGACTACTTAACGGCCCCAGTATATACTATTTGGGCACATGGACCCTTAGGGCTATATAATACTTGATGCTTGACGATTACTCAGACTCCTATATAAAACGCCACCTGCAGTAAACACACGCGTCCACGAGAACAAAGCCACCAGCGAACCCCGTCCGAGTGCCCAACGAAGTGTGCTCCCAGGCTTACCGCCGCCAGAACGCACTGAAGGGCCGTGTAGAGAAGGAAAAGGATGAAATGCTTCCTGGAGCTTCTGCTGCTTTGGGGTTTAGGGTTTAAGGGTTCAGGGGTTTAGGGTTCTGTTGCTTTTGATAACTAGACCTAAGCGATACCTAGGAATAAAACGGGTGTCCTTTTGGTTAAAGGTGGTTGGCTATAACAGAACCTGGACCCTAAAAGGCAATAAGGGCCTATTCTGGGTCGTAGTGATGAAGAGGTTTAGAGGAAAAGCGTAGGACAGGGATGAACTTCTTCCTTGGACCTAAACAAAATGGCACGAAGAACAATAACATCGACCAGAACCACGACAGGAGAAGGCCTTTGACGACGACAACAAACGAACCCTAAACCCTAAACCACATCCCAAATCTCAGACCACCGAGCCGAAAACCCTTTATAAACAAATGTATATAGAAGCCACTAAGCAGTGCCAGATAGTATGCAATGTGACCTTCAAGTACGGTTTAGCGTGTAGACCCTGCATGCCCGTTTTAAGGCTCCCCCTTTGCGCCGAGTCGCTGGTTTCGCTCACCGACGCAATTGTTCCTAGCGCGAGCTGTTGAGAACAATACCCAAGCATGCAATCGCAAAGGATCCATGTACCCAAATAGTATATACTTTGTCACCAAAGTAGCTCTATATATCTATACTTTACGGCCAAAAGTATATTGAACTTGGGTACACGGACCCTTTGGGAATCGGAAGCTCTGAGTGCCCAGCACCCACGGGCAGTGATGATCCATCTTCCTTCGCCCGGTTTTGGGCTGCAAAGCGCAAACCCTAAACCCCTGAACCCCGAACCCTAAAACCCTGAACCCTAAGACCCTGAACCTTCAGCGCTTGAGGTGCATAGGATTCAAGGTTTCGCGAAGTATCAGGGCTTGGATTTCGGATTGTATAGTCCACCCTGTAAACTCTTAACCTTCTAGCCCAAGGGCACGCAAACTGGCTTCGGGTTTAGGGCTTGAGGGTTTAGGCTTTCGGATTTCTGACTTGGGAACCCGAGGGCGCCAAACATGCAAACACTACTTACGGCGGGCTCTAAAGTCTGTACATTCTAAACAGTGCCTACTCTGGGCGATTTGGAGTTCCAGAGTAGTTGTGACTTTGGTTGGCGTTTTGCGCAAGGCTTCTCGAGTATGTAGTGAAGCTGGCATCAGGGTTTGAGGCGCCCGAAAGCCCTAATATCGGGGCCTGAATACAAACAACAGTAGTAAGATGGTCAATGATCTGTTGCTGATAGTACTAACCATATCAGCAGCAGCAGCAGCACCAACAACAACAGCAACATGCATCAGCAACAACAGAAGCAACGACAGCAACAGCAACAACAGCGGCAACAACATCAACAGCAACGACGAGCCTACTACGACTAGTACTGCCACGGCAACGACTACGAATGATAATGGCAAACACAGAGTTTCTAACCAACGATAACAGTCAATATCAACAACTAATGAGCAAAAACTAATAGTAGCATCTCGCAACCACTAAGTCTTGTAAGAAGCAAATAACCACGAAGAGTTGCCATACCAGTGAACAATAACAACTACACTGACAATCACAATGACAATGACAAACCTGATGACCCACACACTAACACCAACACCACTATATCAACAAGAAGGACAACAATAACCATAACAACAGCCACATCGACATCACGCACAACCAAAGACAAGATTAACAAACGCAATAACCAAGACGACAGTAGCGTTGAGAGTAACACATTAATAGTGATGATGCCGATGATGAAACGAATAGCAACAATAGCGGTAAAAAGCAGTGGCAATAAACCTGCTAATGTCAACAATTACCTTAATGATAGCAAAAACACTTGACAAATTAATTATATTAAACAATACTGGCTAACAAATAGCCACATATACTATTATCATTTGTATGTACATGTATAATACACATGTATGTATGTATGTATGTATGTGTGTATATATATTATACTACTTTCAAGAACATGAGGAGCATAGTCATAATGCTAATGACAACTCAAACAGGGTTTTGGGTGGCTTCTGTCATACATCTACTGCAGCAAGGAACTAGGCTTATTGTTGGTGATTGTTCAGAACTGCTTAGTCCCATATAGTTACATCCGAGCATTTCACTCGCCTTAGTTCACAACTGGATCCCTCTCGTTTGGGCTCTCCATAACAAGGGTCATACTCCCTAATTAGGGCATCCTAGATTTCTAGCGTTCCTGACTTTCACTTCCGTACAGACGTCCCTCTTGAAAAGTTAGGTTCATGTAGCTTCTTCCCCTAAGACTCCGGGCTGCTTGGAGTCCCCAAGACTCGAGGCATCCCCAGGCCGTAAACCCTAAAACCCTAAATCCCTAGCCTTACTATTACTACCCAAATAAATAAGCCATAGAAATGGAAGATTAAACTTTCCGGTTCCTACTAAACTATAAGAACCCAGTAAGTCTAAAGGTTAGGTATTGGGGATCTAAGTAACCTAAACCCCAAACCCAAAACCCAAAACCCTAAACCCCTAAACCCTAAACCCCTAAACCTTAACCCTAGACCCCTAAACTGGCCCTAAACCCTAAACCCCTAAACCCCAAAAACCCAAAAACCTTTAAACCCTAAACCCCAAAACCCTAAACCCAAAGAGGATTTCGGATCCAGGGGGCCAGTGGATCCGACCACGTATCGCTTAAAGGGCTCGTCCCCATAACCCTGGGGCCCCTTGCAGCCAAAGTAGGGACACTGTATATACATATGTGTGTGTGTGTGTGTATAATATATATATATATATATATATATATATACATATATATATATATATACGTGGGTGTATAGTACATGTTGTATATACAGAGAGAGAGAGAGAGAGAGAGAGAGAGAGAGAGAGAGATAGAGATAGAGAGAGAGAGAGAGAGAGAGAGAGAGAGAGCGAGAGAGAGAGGGAGAGGGACTTTGAATCCCGAAGTCGGTACTGTGTGTGTACTTGGAAACCTAGGGTAATCAAAGGATCATAAACTACCATGTTGTAGGGATTGGGGCCGCAGCCATACTCCAAAGCCTATAGCGCTTGCCGGGTGATAACTAATCTGGTTTATGGCTTTGCATGGCCCATTGCAAGACTCGTCAGCGCTGTGATACAACGCTGACGCACCACCTATACCGAACTTAGACCCCAGCAACAACTATGATTTCAGCTGTTTCTTAGAGACTATAATAATGAAAGACTAAAAATCATTCCTAAGCTCCCCTAAGCCACCAGCAACAAAGTCTGATATGAAGCCTTGTACCTCGAACACTGAGCCTTCTACCTTAGACTCTGGACGCTAAGGCCTAAACCCCGAACCCAAAACCCTGAACCTGAAACCCTACGCCCTAAATCCCAAGCCCACTAAAGCCTGAGGCCTTCTGCCCAGACCCAAAGCTTGTGATATCGGGGCAATAACTTATGATAGGAATGGTACTCCTCAGATTTCCAAATTGTAAGTATAGAAGAACATCACCCCAAAGCCTCTCCTATTCTATATTCACGCTCCTATTTCTTTAGATCCCCGACAAACAGCTGCCGGACCCAGGGAGTGCACTTCGAAAAATGCAGCCGTGTGTCATGATGCATCGCTGGCAGGTACTACCTGGGACTATGCATGGCAGCGTGCTAATTCCGGATGTCACGTAGCCTCTGCGAGTTTTTTGACTGCAAGCCACAAGCCGACAGTACTCTCTTCCGATACCACCCGTACACGAGCCAGCTCGTCTCACTTAGAAACAGTCCGTTACTGGGGGCTTAGGGGTGTAGGCTGGGGATACCTCATCAAGTCCGATATCCCTTGTAGGAACGTCGAAAGAACTCTTAAAGAACCCTTTAAAGAACCTCAAGCTTTGTAGAACCCTTCTAGCATCCCGAAAGAAGCCTTTCTGGAACCATGTCTCGGGTAAAGGGATGAACCACCTTAGGCCTATAAGCACTAATCCCGAACCCCCGAACCGTTTAGGGTTCAGGCTAAGGGTTTCCTAAACCCTAAACTCCTTGAAACCCTGAACCCCAGTTTCCAAAAAAATGACAAACAAACCCCTAAACTCTGAACTCAAACCCGCAATTTTGTTAAAAGCAAGCTGCAGTGGTGGGCCCTGGGGGGCTTCGGCGCTCTGCACCTCTTGCAGGAAGCTCTTTTTCGGTGTTTCGACCCCATGCAGGGCTTACGACTTAGGGTTTAAGGCTTAGGGATTTATCGGGGTTAAGGGTTTAGGGGTTTGGGGTCTCGGGTTTACCGTTTAGGGTTTGTATGAGGGGTGCGTGTTCATTCTAATTCTAGGCTGTTCTTTCGTGAGTGTTACAGGGCTTTGTAAAGCTGCTTGTGTCCTGATAAATCTCGGGCATATGGTATGAGTGTTGAGGGCTGAGTGCGATGCTGTCCTTCATCGTGCCGCTTGGTATTCAGAAAGCACTGCACAAGTTCTGCAGAACAGACATATTTCGAGCGTTGCAAGTTTCGAGAATGGAACTGAAAAAGTTTGTTTTTTGTAGTAACACCGTCGGAGCGTTTCGGGAATAGAAGTGAACCTGCTTGCTCAACCCTGACCCGTTATCAGGGACTTTGGCCGAGCTGTGTGTACAGTTTAGCAATCATAAGTTCCGGTTCGGGTGCCGGGGGACACCCCATATACAAACTAGATCCCGGAAATCCAACGACGAATGCTTCAGGGTTGAGGGTTCAGGGCTTAAGGGCAATGAACGTCCTCGACACCCCTGGCTTTACGTAGCTCACTGGAGCTCCAACGACTAGCCGCCGACCCTCACAAGGCCTTGCAAAGCCTTCCTGCCCTTCTACTGCCAACTCTGCATCCTTCTTAGGGCATCCGAGGTACCTCAATGGACAATTTTTGAAATATGTGTGATTATGTGTGTCTTAAGAGCACACTTAACCACCATAGGGGTCCAGGTGCCGAGAATGTACATCATAGATTGGCTCCTACCTAGGTATTTTGGCGCGGACGAATGTACCAGGGTACATGGATCGAGGTTGGTAAAATGAGAAACACTCCGCCACTACTAGTGCTTCTTCAGTCCAGGCGGCTTTGCGCAGTGGCGTTCGCCCTCCGCGTAATCCACATCCAGCGGGCATGCGCCCGGATCGGTAAGCATGCACGCCTTAAAGGTTCGTGCAGATACTACAGGGGCCTCATTGATTAGAAGAAGGTTTCGCGGTATCTGTTTCTGGTTCATACCAGGACTAGAAGGGGATTGTGGAGAATGTTTCTTTGCTTGTTTGAGGCAGCTGTAGGGTCTTGTGCCACATGATGTGCTTCCCCAGACCTTCCAAAATCCTTTAATTAAGGAATATACCCTTAAATTATAGAAGGATCCCTATTGTAATTTAAGGTATATTCCTTAATTAACAGATTTTGGAAGTTCTGGGTCTGCCCTGTACCGACTGTTGAGGACAGCACCTCACGGGAAAACTTGCTTAGAGATCAGCCTATGCAGGTGAAACTTCAAGAGCCTGAGGTCCTTGTAATTTTTGGAGCTTATGAGCAGTTCTATGGCTTCAGGGCTTCTGTCGGTTAAGTTGAGGGTTGAGGTTGCCAGCTGGATTGTGCGTAGGGCTGCCATTGTTCAGCAAACTAACTATCCTTTTGATGTGACCAAGAGAATGAGAAATTGCACAATAATGTCTGAAGGCTTTGTACCGAGCTGCCGAGCGATTCAACTGTATTGATCCACCTGTACGCCAAACCTTACAAAAGAGGAGGTACTACCCCTTTAACCAAGGGTCTACACCTTACAACAGCGGACATCTGGTGCCACGGACTTTTGCAACGTAGGGGCCTTACCACTCAGACTTAGAACAGAATTTGGGCGAAAGTCTGGAATACTCCAATAAATATGTAAGGACTTTTGCAAAAGAAAAACAGACCTTTGCAGTGATTGGCTTAAGGTTCAGAACGCAGGAATTTGTGGGCTGGTGAGTGGCTGATGAGGGCTCAGGGTTTGGGGTTTATAGGGGGGTCTAATATCGGGGCCTTAGAATAGCGCTTCGGGCCTAAATTATACTATTTTTAGAATAAGGACCCCCCCCCCACAGATAGTATTGGTAACTATTGAATCCCCTATCCTAAACCCTAAACCCTATAGGTCCCTGGTAGAACCCTTAATGGAGCCCTTAAGGATCCCAAAAAGGTAGTTTTGTTAACTATTTAAGCCCCTATAGTAGGGTTCTAGGGGCTGAATTCGATCGCAGCTTCTAGATGCGACCAAATACTCAGCACGAAGACTGCTTCGTAGCCTGCGGCTGTCTGCATCAGGCTCAGTAGGGTTTAGGGTTAGGGTTCTGCATCAGATTCAGTGTTTTTTTGTTTTATTTGTGTTTTTGAGGGGGGGGTGGTTTCGGGCTTGTTGGTCATCGGATTCAGGGCTTTATGCACTACATCACAACTAAGTAAGATCCCCAGTACCTGAGGATTCGAAACGGCTCCCTTCTTGGTGTTGGGTGGGTTTACAAGGAACCTGGGACCACAAAAGAGAAAAAAGGCTCTATGGGAGACCTAGACTCAAGTGAGTGGTTGTCAAAATTATGGCCCCGTTTTGGGTACCCTGAATAAGGGGTGCCGTATTATAACAAGGACCCAAAAAGGGACCATAATAATTTTGACAACCACCCAAGAGTATCCAGAAAATGTGTTGTTAGGAATGTACTTAAAATGAAAGGTATCCACAACCCTGAGCTCGTAGGGGACCCAGACCAGGGATATGTATTGGGGTATGTAAGCTTTTCAAGGTTTAGGTCAGGGTATGTACGACGATCTCGAGGGGTGAGCATGCATTCAGGGTGTACCTTGACCCCAAATAAACTACCCTTCTATCTATGCTTATATACCGACAAGCCTTACCGTAAGGGTCCAAGTTCAGGATGTTCTGGTAACTGGCTTGGGCCAGTGGTAGATGTAGGGTAGTCACGGCTAGTCTTCTGTTGGGGAGTAATAGTTGCGTTATTGAATAGCCCTGGGCCCTACACCCCAAACAGAATCGGGTTGTGAGGTACTCTGAACAACTCTTCGCGAAAGCTACACCTGGGGGCTCCAGCAGCATTCTGCCCATGCCACATAGCCCCAAGACTTACCCACCCGCAGGGTGCATGTACCCAAAGGGCATATACTTTGGCTCCAAAGTACGCATATAGGGACTACTTACTTTAATTTAAGGCCAAAGTGTCTGCTATTCGGGTACATGGACCCCTAGGGACCCTAAATCCACAACTCAAAGCCTCAACCCTCTCAAACAACCCCGGAGTGTCTCGCCGCCACCCGGTGCCTAGTCGGAAGTACATCTGAGACGACTCGCCAAACGGCCATCGACCAAGTCTCATCACTGTGAAGTTGGAGACCTGGAGGTGGCTATGATCTAGGGCCCCGAAAAAGCACCTAAGCAAAAATAAAGATAGGGATATCCCATATAAAACCCCCTCATAATGAAGCCCATTAAGGTAGGGATATCCCCATAAAATGCTTATGCTTATGTGCTTGTGGGGTCCCTAATGATCTATGGGTTTATAGTTCAGAGTTTGTTGTTCACGGCTCTGGGTTTCGGGTTTAAGCCGTAGGCTCTGCAGAACAGGAGCTTACAAAGATTTCGGTACTGTAGGTTCGATCCCCCCCTAAACCCTAAACCCTAAAGCCTAAACCCTAAACCCAATTAATTGAGGAGCCACCGGCTCGCCCTATGCGATCCTAAACTGGTATCTGGGCTTATTCGGGCAGGACTCATTGGTGCCTCTCCTCTCAGATGGATTGACTCATCGAAAACAGTCGGAGTGAGAAAATGACGCAAAAAAACACACAACGAAGCTCAAACTAAATACTAGTAACGGCTGATGCAGCTGTACACAAACCTCTATTGGTTCTACTGGGGAAAAAGGTGAATGACTCTGCAAGATATAAGGGTCTCAGTTCAAACAACCGTTGGGGAAACCAGTCTAATCGATGACTATGGTTTGAGCCCACAGCGCTCCCCCTTACGACTGCCGGTCTTGATGCAAGTTTCAGGGTTAGGGTTTAGGGCTACTACGGGCACTTGGTTGGAGCTTCAAGCATTCCAAGTGATAGCTGAGGCGGTTCTAGAATGCAGGCAGAAAGGTGGAAAGCAGCTTGAGGCCAACCCGCCAAATGGGTCCAAGCGCAAGTCGACAAGAAAGCGGGACATATGCGCCGACACCTCGACCTCGAACTCACATGTTGTTGCCCTATCTACTTCTTGAAGTGCTTCTGACTTTTAAGCAAATTATCCTGTTAAAAATTCTCCACGAATCTAGGGCGTCAGGTCAATATTCTGCAGAAATATCCGAGGTAGAGTATCGACTACACAGGCTCGCGACGTGAGATGCAGAGGCCTTACTAGTTAGACTCCAGTCTTGGGGCCCGTTGTCCCTAAGGCTCCATGTACCCATATAGTACATACTTAGGCCTTAAAGTACCTACATACGGACCCCTTTAAGGCCTAAGCATCTACTATAAAAGGTACATGGAGCCTTAGGGTGTACTATAGTGATCATAAGCAACCCCTCAAAATAGTGTTGGTGTATATGTAGGCCCCTGTACTAAACTCTTATAGAAACCCTTATAGACCCCTTCCTGATTTAGAACCCTGCACCACAAGCCCTGAAAAGTTGCACCGCACAGCAAGCTGAACCGAGGCGGCCGCTATCAGCAAGGTATACCTGCGATGAACCCGTACCCCAGAGATGCCAATCTCCCGAGATCAAGGCATACCTAGGGTTCCTTTTAAGGGATCTATAGGGTTTAGGGTTTATAAGGGGGCTCCATGATCCCTTAATTAAGGGAGACACTTAACATCATATTAGGGTTCTTTCTATAAGTTAGGATGTATTCCTTAAGTGAGGGGTATTGGAAAGCCTGGGAACTTGTGAAGATTTCAGTCATCTTGTGCGCCCTAAATACCCCGAACCCGGAACACTACCGTCATGAACCCCAAACCTCAAAATCCTGGATCATAGCCCTTAAAAACCGACACCCTTAAACTAGACTACTATGCGGAGCCATAACGCCTCAGATTTTCGGATTTGACGGGGAGGGTTTTGGCCAGGGGTATTCGTAGCCCCAAGACCAGGATTCTCCTTGCACTGCAGAGTTTTGGGTTCATGATTACTGCAGAAGCTGTTGCGACCTAGTCACTGTGTATCTAATGAACACCATAAGGGGTTACAGTATGCGGGTCTGTAAACTTCCGGTAGAGAAACGTTTTAAAACCATGCTTCTCAGTCGCTAGGGCTGCAAGTCTACAAACAGCAGCTACTTTGTGGTCCAAGGTCCATAAATGTTGAATACTTTGAAATCTAGTCTAAAGTCTATGAAATAGTACCTACTGTGGGGTCTAAACGTCTATAAGCTATGCTTACTTTGTCGGGTCACATAACCCCAAAACCTAAACCCGTAGCAGCCGCCGAGGGAAGCTCGTGGTACAACTACTTAAATGTGCATGGGACTTAGTAACTCCGGTTATAAGTAAGGTAACTTTACTTATAACTGATTATAACCCCAATTAAGGTACTTACAACTGTACTTACTAAGTCCCATGTACCCAAGAAGCCCTGTTTAGGCCTTCCAAAGCCCTTCTTCAGCCTTTCGAGGCCTGGCTTACTAAGTCCCATGATCCTCTACAGTAGAAGCTTAAAAGTTGGAAACCCAGTAGCCTCAATCCTGAAGAGTAATATGTAGGGAATCCCAGCACTATTTGGCCTGAATCCGGTTTCCAACTTTATGGAGTCAACTGTATATGTACTTATAATACGAATTAGGGTACTTATAACTGTACTTATTAAGTCCCATGATACTCTAAGTACGACATTGACATCAGACCACAGGGCTCTTCGCCAAGGCGGCCTGTGGGTAAACCCAGCTCTACTTGGAGGTTCAGGGGACTTAGTAATTACTTAGAGTGCTCTTTAAAAGGCTCCTTAAAGGGATCTTTAGGGTTCCTCAAAGGGATCTATAGGCTTTAGGGTTTAGGGTCTACTTGAAGGTTCATGGGACTTAGTAAGTACAGGAAGAAGTACCTTAACTGGGGCTATAAGTAAGAAGAAGAATAGGTACCTTATTTATAACATTAGTAACTAAGTCCCATGATCCTTTAAGTACAATCTGCGGGGAAGACGAATAACAGAAGCTTGTTTGGGTAACTTCAGGTATGACTCATGGGTGGTTCGAAGTCATTATTTCAGCCGGAATCCTCGAGTTTAGACTACAAGCTCCAAAGCATAAAACCTCGAAGCCCTAAAACACTGAAGCCCTGAACCCTGAATCCTGGAATCTTGAAGCCCTCAACCCTAAGCGAACACTCCAGAGTCAGAAGTCCAGGAAAACTTGCGAACGAGGTGCGTGATGCAGAAGCAAACCATACCTCAGCGTACGAGAACGGCCCGTTTCAACATATACGATTTTGGGATTTAGGGCTTATAGGGTTTAAGCATTACTGGGTATACGTTGACCTTAATATTGCCCGAGTATAGGGCCTTCTATACTACAGCTGCTACAAAGTACATGGACACTTACAGTTGCAGAAGAATTCCTGTCGGCTACAGCCCTCCAAACTTGCCCCTCCTGAGGGTTCAAGTTACGGTGGAGGCGGTGGGCGGTGGGGCCAAGTAGGTGCCTTGACACCAAAGGCAAGGTTGATGGCATGAGTAGAAGCTACGTTGGGGGTTTAGAAGGGTTTTGGGTTTGGGGTTTAGGGTTCATGGTTTAAATACTGTGCTCGGATTAAAATCGTATCTACGCTTGACGCCCGATGCCCGACTCCAAAACCAAACCCTTGAACCCAAAGGCTCCATGTACCTTTATAGTAATTTAGATACCTTAAGCCTTGAAGGGGTCCCTATAAAGTAGATACTTAAGCCTTAAAGGAGTCCCTCTATAGGTACCTTAAGGCCTCAGCGGTTGATGATATAAACCCTGCACTACCCATAATAAGGAATATACCATAATTCCCATAGTTTAGGGTTCTTAAGGTAATGCAGGATTTATATCAACAACAGTAACTCTCATGGATCTTCGGGCCTGGAGTCGTTCGGTATAAGGGTCGACGTGCCTATCTCTATGCTGGACTTGGTACCCTTGCAAACATTGGGATTTTAGCTGTATCTTAGGGATTTGATTAACCCAATATGAGCTGTTCCAAGTATCCCTGAGATCTGATATGCACTTCAGCTCCAAAAGTACTTATATGGGATCCATCTCAGGCCAGAGTATGGACGTACTATATAGGTACATCAAACCACACCAAACCAAAATAATAAGCCGTGCTAAGTCCTGAAAACAATTACTACAGCTCCATCAAGCCCCATGAACTTCTGTTCCATTGCCCGCACGGCTGACAGCGCAGATCCGAAAACGGCCGCTAGCCCTCAGGCGCCATGTACCCTTATAGTATATACTTAGGCCTTAAAGTACCTATATAGGGACCCCCTAAAGGCTTATGTATCTACTATAAAGGTACATGGAGCTTTTGGGTGGGACGAACGGGTGATTGTCCCAGGCTTGTCCGGCAACCGGTCACGGATGTACCAGCCCTAGCACTTTCCCTAAGGCTCCATGTACCCATATAGTATATACTTAGGCATTGAAGTACCTATATAGGGATCCCTTTAAGGCTTAAGTATCTACTACTTTTATACATGAAGCCTTTGGGTTTGTCCACGGCAGAAAGTTCAGCTCTGCACCAGGACCCACCCATAGGCACGGTCGGCCAGCGAATCAAAATCTTATTCTAATTATTCAGGCCCTCACACTACCCCTGAACCCCCAAACCCCCAAACTCCGAGAAACACTGAACCCGCAATGAAAACACTGAACCCGCAATGATCACGGGAGTCGAGCGCAGGTTCGGGTGCCTCAGCCCTGTGGCATGAATCCCAATGCTTTCGGATTTTAAGGTTTAGCGTTTAGGGCTTAGGGTTTACGGCTTAGGGTTTAGGGTTTAGAGTTTAGGGTTCAGGGTTTGGGATTCTCAGGGTGTACCCTACGGGTCCATGTGCCCAAATAGCAAAAAGACTCTGCCCCCAGAGTACCTATGTAGCCACTACTCCCAGGCCAAAGTATACACTAATGGGGCTCATGGACCCTTAGGATTAGATGGTTTAGGACTTCCAAGGTTTAGGAATTTTGGCCTTGGCTTTGGGTTTGCGGGGGGGGGGGGGGGGGGGGTCATGGCTTTGCTAGGCAAGCGTGGATTGTCCCAACCCCAACTCCGAGCAAGTATCAAACCACCCAAAGTCCACCACCTGTTAAAAAGATGCACCCGCACATACATCCACGCGCAGAAGCATATGTGTGTGCATACATAGACACACGGTTTATTTATATATATATATATATATATATACATACACACACACATATATATATATATATATACACATATATACACACGTGTTTGATTATCTAAACGTATACATTGTTTGGTTTATGTCTCATTGTATTTGTATATATACATATGTGTATAGACAAATATATATACATACATATATATATATATATATATATATATGTGTCACACAGCCTGCCCCAGACCCCTACACCACCATACCGTTGACCGCAAATCCTCTGAAAACACAACTTACAACTCAATAATATCAGCACCTGAGGGGCTGAATATCCAGCCCCAAAAGGTCAATCAACCTCGATCTTAGATTCAGGTCACAGGATCAGGTATCTAAGCCCGGTTACGTACTCAGCCCCTAACCCAGGCTCGATGTACCTTCATAGTAGATACTTACGCCTTAAAGGGGTCTCAATATAGGTACTTTCAGACCTAAGTATACGATTTCTGAGAGTTTCCGATAAGAGGGGACCGAATATAGTACCCTAAATAGTAGTACCCTTACTATAAGGAACCCAAAACACGGTATCCCGATTTTAGGAAACTCCCATATGGGTACATGCAGACTTAGGGTACTTAGTTACCCCTGTCAGCGTGAACCGATCCGGCCGAGGAGCCGCAGCCATCCCAGTTGCACCTCCACTTAAAGGAGCATGGGACTTCGTAGCTAGGGTTCATAAGGCTCCTTAATGGAGTAGTATAATGGGTTCTATAGGATTCTATAGTAGGGCTCTGCAATACCTCGAGGCTCATACCCAACCCAATTTTTTTGATACCTAGTCTTCTGGTTAGGATCTGGTATTTAGAAAAGTCGATACCCTACAAAAGGGGCAGGGTATGAGCCTACAGGTACGGTTATACATAAGGTAACCAAACATATAATTCCTTGTAAACCCACTTAAGTAAGCTAGCCATAACCTGACTTACCAAGTCCCATGAGCCTCAAAGCGCAGGCTCATAGACAAGGGGTTCCAAAAGGCGGCGTGTCAGGGTTTACTATGTGCCCAGGGTTGCTTTAAAAAAGGAAAATATGAACAAAAAAGGTGTCAGGGTGCTCGCAATTAGGCTTTAAGGGCTTGCGGGTTTAGGGCTTGGGGCTTTTTAGTGTTCAGGGCTTGTAAGTTCACGTCTCATGGCTTACGAAAGTTTCGGGCTAGGGTGAGTTCGGGTCCATGTCGCGTTCGAGCTTCGGGTTGGACGGATTAGGCCAGGTTTTGGGGCTTGCGACCGGCCGCTTGATGCAACAAACACAGCAGACTATCACGAGGACCCTGCTAAGGGTTTGCAATGATTCGAACAGGATTCTTCGGTAGTTTTCGGTACAGCTCTTTAGGTCAAGCCTCTTTGATGGCCCCAGGGTAACTGGGGCTTCCTGGTTTGTCAAACTCTTGGTCTACATTTAAACGCTAAACCGTTTAAGATCCGCACGGGCAGAAGTCTAGGAAGGGCTGAGGATTTCCCAGAGATTCCAATATCCTTTATCTTAATCATATTAGGCATCCTACTAGAACTTAAGGGGTATATTCCTTAATTAGGCTATTGGAGCCTCTGTGCTGGGTTCAGGGTTTAGGGGTTTGGGGTGTAGAACTCCGGAGAGCGCTTAGGATTTGGATTCAGGGTTGAGGGCGTACCCGTAGGCCCCATAATAGTTCCTTTTTGGGATTCATATTTAGAATCCTATAAGGTAACCTTCAAAAGGAACTACTACGGGGCCTATGGGTAGGGTTTAGCGACACTCACGGCTTCGAAGTTGAGGAGGGGTTTGGGCATTGAAGAACCCGGTTTGGGTTCATTGAATACCGGCGAGTGCAAAATGGAAGGTGTGGTATATCATAGCCACAGGAAATGATGGATGGTGCTAATTAGGACCAAGTTTGGCCATAAACACTTTACAACCCAAAAAAACATACTGCGCATACGTTAACACCAAATACTAATTTCATCAACAAACTTACCTGTGTCGAAGACTTGTAGTACAATAATCACGGAAGTCTAAAACGATAGTTTTCGTAGGGGTCAGGAGTCAGGTGGGTCGTCCACTTTTTGATCCCTGCTATTCTGCTTCACATCTTCAACAAGTCAGCCACCTTACGGATGAAACCGTTAAAAAAAGTCCATCCTGTTGTGTTGTTTCTCTGGTCTGGTGCTTTACATGTTGAAAGGTCTGTCACTTTAACGATGAAAAAACTGAAGAGATCAGGCCCAGTACTCTAAAGCTCGAAAAGCCGAAACCGAAAACCTGTAATGTTAGGGTTTGGGGTTTAGCGTTTAATGGTTTAGGGGTTTAAAGGTTGGCAAGCTGGGGGGTTGGAGAATCTTCGCAGAATCCACGAAACCCCAACCGCTGATGCCTTAAACCTAGACGCCAAAACCCTACACTCTCATTATTGAATTCTTTGTAGAGCCTTTATAGAAGCCTGAAATGGCCCCTTTCGGCCGGGTCACCAGCAAGGCTTGTGCTGATTCTGCTCCGGCCGCCTTTCTGGTGAAGGCCTCAGCCGGACGGCTCTTTTATCAAAGCCTCAGAAACCTGAACACAAGCTTCCCTAAATAATGTAGAGGCCCTATATGGCCCTATAATATTGGGAACAAGGCTGTTAGAAGTTCTTGACTTGGAAGAAGGTTAACAAGCTATTTGATAGAGGCCTTAAGAAGTTGAAAGGGTTAGGGCTTGTGGCTAGACCATCGTAACTGTATAGAGCCACTAGTAACCTAAAATCATATTACTAAGCACAAAGTCTACCGGGTCTAGGGTTTGAATCGGCTTTAGGGCGTGGGGAATAAGCCTAGTCGAGCCCTAAACCCTGCAGGGCTGTAACTAGATTTGGGGATTTAGGCTTGGGGGGCCGTCCGGGGTCACCGGTTCCAAATTAATCAAACCAAAAATTTTTGGTCAGGGGAGGGGGGGGGTCCGTCCACTATTTGAACCGCCACATTAAAGCCGTTGGCACCGAGCGCAAACAGTAGAAGGCACGCTCGACGAGAGGCAGCAGCTTCTGGCCCGCTCTTGAGAGGTGGTTCTTCACAGTTGCAAATATGCCGTGTCTGTACGCAGCCAATCGACCATCTGGATCGCTAGCTGTTTGCTTGACCTTTGGCGTGCGCACGCACCAGTGACGTGTGCCCAGTCTGCCAGGCGGTCAGCACGGGGAAAAATCTGCTTGCGAGCCAGGTCTTCGCCGAGGTGAAGATCAGCATGGTATTGGAAGCACATATCAGCTATATAGGTTCACGGACGTGAACTTGGCTGCGCAGTCCACAAGCGCTTGGAAGAATAATTTGTAGTTCTCTTGCGCTTCCTAGTTCGTAATGGCGAAAAGCAGTGGGTTGAAGATTGTGCGGAATGCGAATGCACCGCTAGCCTCTTCATAATGCTTCGACAGAGCTCCGACTGTCAAAAGAACCCAGTCGCCTTCTGTTAGACGCCAGGTTCCATTCCCACAGAGCTTGATGTAGGCTTTGTTGCAGAGAGCAAACACTGTGCTTTGTAGGAGAGCTGGGTTGCAAAAGACCACGACCGTGCAGGCATTCAGCGTGTCTGGGGCTACGTTTTAGGGACCTTCGTCCATTGAGGCCACTGGCTTGCGCCAGTTGAACTTTGTGGTCCCATCCTTCTTCGTGCCCTTGTTCACACGGTGATTGTGGGACCAGGTCTTCAACCATTTGTCGTCAACTGGGCGGCCATCCTTGTAATGCTCTTCGACAATCTTTGCGAGGTCTTGAGTGCTGATGCGAGTGTTGTTGGTCATGTACTCCTTCATAGCATTGAGTGTTGTAGCATTCAATGGATTCCACTGGCGGGCGGCCTCAAAATCACCATGCTCCGAGAGAGGTGTGTAATTACTCGCGGTACACTCTCTTCTCGCTGGCATTTTACGTGGAATACCCTTTCCAGCCACCCTTTTTATTCCTGCACTTGTCGCAAGAAATGCACCAGGGCAAGACTTTGTACCCAGCTGCGTGCTCATAGTACTGATGTCGAATTCTGAGTGTTTGACCTTCCACTCGCGTGCTGGCCCAAGCCTTCTCACCCTTCATGAATGCATCCTTGCTGAGGAACTCTGCACAATGGTTGCCTGCGTCGGTATAGGGATTCTCGTAGTCCTCGTCTTGAGACGGCCACCCACGAGAGTTTCCTTGTGCTGCCTTGGCCGTGGGTTGTGCTGCTGGCGCGGACTTTGCCTTGGGCTGCACTGCTGGCAAACTTGCTTTATTGTCGCGCCTTCGCCTGCCAGCACCACGCATTGGGGGAATGGCCGATTCGTTAGGTAGCGGAGCTGCTGCCTCCCTAGTGTCGTGACACTTGTAGGCCAAAGCCCCAGAGGAATTTGGAGGTCTTTGAGGAAGTCTTTCGCCTCGGCACCGAGGGCACACCGATGAAAGGCCTGGTTATGGCCTTCACCTTGACCGCGTTGTCTCGTTTGAATGACACGGACCAAGCTTTTCGATTCCAGGATTTGCAAGGCTTGCACGCGCTCCGAGTGCTTGGCTGCGCCGCGAAGGGCTGTCACGTGGTTAGGAGATTTCGAAACGGCGCATCCCCTGGATCTTGATTGGGTCAGCTCCCTGCAGACAGAAGTGCCAGCCAGTCAGCGTGCCACTGCCATCTTCGAGGGTGATGGTGGTCGGTTTATGGGGTGAGGGATCAAAAGTTAACTAAGGATCAACAAAAATAAATGGAAGGATCAAAAAAATAAAATAAGGATCAAAAAAATGAATCATTTAAAATACAGCAATTCCTGGGGCAGAGGCACCAACAAATAAATAAAATAAGCATCGAAAGAAAATTAAAGTATTCGAAATACAGCAATTCCTGAATTTTTCCAAGGGGAAAACACTATTTACCTACGGCTTCTCTTTCATTTCCGTAGGATTTGCTTGGTTTCCTCGGGAAAACACGATGTTCCTGCGGATTTCATGTTATTTGCTTAAGTTTTCCTTGGTCTTTCCTAGGAAAAACACGATTTCCTATTACCTATGGCGTTCGTGTCATTTCTTCAAGTTTTCAGAAGGAAAACATACGTTACCTTGGTTGTTCCTCGGGAAAATCAAGTTTTCCATACAATTTCGCATTTAGGACGGATTTCGTGTTGTAATTGTTGCTGGTAGTGTTGTTGCTGTTGTTGTTGTCGTGGTGGTTGTAGTTGAAGTATGTTATAGTTGTAGTTGTAGTAGTAGTAGTAGTAGTAGTAGTAGTAGTAGTAGTAATAGTAGTAGTAGTAGTAGTAGTAGCAGTAGTAGTAGCAGTAGTAGTAGCAGTAGTAGTAGAAGTAGTAGAAGTAGTAGTAGTAGTAGTAGTAGTAGTAGTAGTAGTAGTAGTAGTAGTAGTGGTCCCTCACATGTCTAGAACACGCCTTCTCATTTAGCGTTTCCTGTTCATAATATATCTTAAACACGCTCCTTCATTTGGCGATTCCGGTTCCTCAGATATCTTAACCACGCCCCCTCGTTTGGCGATTGCGGGTCATCCTATTTCTTAAACACGCCCCCTCAGAGGCGATTCCGCTTCATCATCTATCTTAAACACGCCCCCTCATTTGGCGATTCTGGCTCAGCATGTATCTACAAGGGCGGAGCCCCCCCCCCCCATTTGCAAACACAATGCTGGTGTGATGGGCTTCAAAAAGGGCCATATGCTTCAAAGCAACCCTGCACGGCTTAAAACAGCGGGAGGGTTGGGGGGCCGCAGCCCCCCCCCCATTTGCAGACACAACGCTCGCATGATGGGCCTCGAAAACACTCTTTGAATCAAGCTTGCACGGTTCGAAAAGCGCGGCGGTGGGTCTTTCGTTCTTCCGTGCCTGTTCGTGTCTCTTTTTCCGTTAGCCTTCTAACATAATATAACATAGTAAGAACGACATAAGATGGTACGACATCACAAAAATTGCGTGGCATTTTCTGACATAGCATAACATTGCTTCTTATCGCATATAATAACATAATCTAAAGACAACAATACAATATCACATAATATAACATAGAACAAAACAACATCTTAGTTTAGAGTGTATGATATTTAGCAGATCATATAACATTAGCTTACATAATGTTATATTATGTTATGGTATATTACTATATTGTGGTATATTCGATTCGACAATGTAGTATCCTTTTGCTTGTATCTTTATTTCTGTGATTCTTTCATGTTCTTTATCTTTCGTCTTGTCCAATTGTGCGTGTTTCTTCTGGATTTATTTCTTTACTTCGCTCGTTCATTCCTTCTCTTTCTTTCTGTGGTTCTTTCTTTATGCATTTCATACTCCCTTCCTTCCTTTATTTCGTTCTTGCTTCCTTTATGCTTTAGTTCTTTCGTTATTTCGTTCGTTCTTCCTTTCGTTGTTGCGTTCGTTCTTTCTTTCGATTTTTATTCAGTTCGTTCGCTCTCTCTTTCTTTCTTTCTGTCTTCCTTTCTTTCGTTCTTTATTTCTTTCTTTCTTTCTCTCTCTCTCTCTCTGACTCGACTCTCTGCCGTGCGTAGGGGCGGATCAGCGCCCCCGGGCTTTCTGTCTCTTGCTTGCTTGCTTGCTTGCGGGGCGGCCCTGCTTCCTTCCTGCCTTCCTGCCCTTTCTGTTGTTTCGTTTCTTCCTTCCTTCCTGCCGTCTCTGGTGCTTCTTTGGACCCTTATTTATTTTTCTTTATCATTATTTTTTTTTTGATCCTTGTTTAATTTTTAACCCCTATCCCCATTTCCTGAAGCTTGCAAGACATACTCAACTCTGCACCCTAAATCAACGGAACGGCTGAATCATACAACGGGGGGGTAAATGATTCGATCAGGAATGTGGGACATATTATGCTTCAAGTGCAATGAGGAGCCCTAAAGAATAGTACTAGTATTGGTATGTATTGAACAATGTCTTGAGGCTCCAACATGAAAATACATTGAATCATGAACCCCTGATCACTCAACGAAGCGAGCCAAGAGTTTGAGAAGCGAAAGCTTTCTTGCGCTCTACAGTTTGCACACTAAATCCTGCAGAGCTCAGATATGACACCTCAGGGTGTATAGGCTCTGAGGCCAACAAGTCCACGCCTTCATGACGACAGAGCTGCGTGAAGGCATCGTGAGACGGTTTTAAGGCTGTCTTGCAGCAATTGCGATCGCCCAAGGCTGCACTGCCGATTGTCTCCGCTGCACATGGGATATGGGAGGCACAATTATGTCACAAGTATGGAGTGCTCGCGAATTGAATTGGCAACATTCCGTGCGCGATCTGGGCGTCCAGCCGCAGGAGTGGCATTGCATCATTGGCAAGGCCCACACGTAAGTGACACGGAGCATCGCTGCACCCGAACCTCGATCACAAAATCCCGAACCCTGAACACAACCCTCTGTTAACACAGAACGTTACCACGCCTTGAAAGCCCTAGTTAAGCCTATCAACCCTAAGTCACAAAAGCCTTAACCCTTAGGCTCTAAGGACTAACTAACATATCCAGGCTTTTGGGCCCAAAGACCATACCGTATAAGGCTTTGGGGCTATTTTCAGCCTCAGGGTAAGCCACCAAAGCCCCCTAAGCTCCAGAAGCCTCGACCCTGATTCCGACAACTCTTAAGCTCTAACCTCTCAACCGGAATTGAATCCCAAACTCCTATTTCTGAAGCAGAAACCATACCTAGAGGCTCATACACTACCCATTTTTTAGGTTACCTACTTTTCTATATGAACCAAGAACTATAGTACCGTAAAAAGGGCTAGGGTATGAGCCTACAGGTAGAGACCCAAATCGAACTTGTAGGCCTCCCAAAACCTACTTAGGGCCCCAGAAAAGCACATAGGAAAAATTAGGATAGGGATATCCCATATAAACCCCCCTTATAATGAAGCCCAATAAGGTAGGATATCCTCATAAAATGCTTATGCTTATGTGCTTTTTGGGTCCTTAACCATTGAGAAAAGGAGCTCCACCGGCAGTTGCAGCTCGAGAGCCTGCAAGGCAAGAGAGTCCAAGCTGCAAGCATTTGGGGTTTAAGGTTTAGGGCCTGGGAATAGGGTTTAGGTTGTTGTTTACAACAGAGCTGTTAGGGTTACAAGTTTCGGGTTTGGGTCTTTTTGTTCTGGGCTCTTGGGGTTTGTCGTGTCGGGTTGTGTTTATAGGTGGCTTTGGTTTGCTAGAGGTTTACTCAGGGTTTGATGAAGGTGCGCGGTTGATGTAAGCAGCCCTAAATACTCAACCCTAAACCATAACTCTAAACTCCAGGAAGCTCCAGAACCTTGGAGTCAACCCTGAATCCTACACCCTAAACGCTGAAAACAGAACCTAAAAACCCTAAACGCTAAACCCTACTTGGAGGGGCAGGGGACTTAGTAAGTAGGTTCTAAGTAGAGTTATAAGTACGCTCAATGGAGTTACCCCCCATGACACCCTTAGTATAAACGACTTACTAAGTCCCCTGCCCCTCCAAGTAGACCCTAAACCCTAAAACCCATAGATCCCTTTAAGGAACCCTATAATACTATAGATCCCTTTAAGGAGCCCTTTAAGGAACCCTACAGATCCCTTTACAGAGTACTTCAAGGAACCCTAAACTGCAACTTTGAAAGCTCCAGAATGCTGCGGAACCTGGGAGTCGATCCTCCCTGAGCTCCAAAAAGCCTACTGAGAGGTTCCTTAAAGTAACTAGGGTTATGAGGGGCTCCTTTAAAGGTTCCTTAAAGGGATCTATAGGTCTCCTTAGAGGGATCTATAGGGTTTAGGGTATACTTAGAGGTTCATGGGACTTAGTAACTAGGGTTATAACCAAGGTAACCATGCTTATAATTACTTATAACCCCAGTTAAGGTACTTATAACCCTACTTACTAAGTCCCATGATCCTCCAAGTAGGGACCTTAATAATCCCAAAGGCTCCATGTACCTTTATAGTAGATACTTAAGCCTTAAAGGGGTCCCTATATAGGTACTTGAAGGCCTAAGTATGTGCTATATGGGTACATGGAGTTTTAGGGAATTAGAATAGGGTTTGGGGGCACATTATGCTGTAACCATTTTACGGAACCCACACAATAGTATTGGTAAGTATGTAAGCCCCTATATTAACATCCTCGATCCGCAACCGTTCAGCGATATGGGGGAACTCATCAATTGCAACAGGATTTTGGTGTTATTGCATGAGGGTTATTCATACGTCTTATTGAGGAGTACATTAAACCTCAATGCCCTAAACCCTAAACCCTGCGGCGTTGCAGGAGTCCCTCCCCAAGTAATGCAGGATCCTTGAATTGTTAGACCCTTAGATTGCGACAGAGGAGCAGGGCTTCGAAGAGGAAGTATGCATCTTGCATCCCTTAGGTACCCTGAAACCAAATCCACAGCCCTGAACCCTAAAACCCCCTAAAAGTCCTTAGCCCCAATGATTCAAAGCTCATCTCTTCAGCTCCAGTCGAGGATGAACGTCTACATTGTACTGTTGATGATATAAATCCTAGGGTTCCTTTAAAGGGATCTATAAGGGTAACGTTAAGGGATCTATAGGGTTTTAGGGTTTAGGGTGATGATATAAATCCTGCATTACCTTAAGAACCCTAAACTATGTTAGTTATGGTATACCCCTTATTATGGGTCGTGCAAAATTTATATCATCAACCGTATCACGGGGAACCAAAGCAAGACCCCCTGAAGCTCTGCACAACCTCGAGCTTCGGCTGTCTCAGTATATGCTTTATGTATGGGGGGGGGGGGGGGGTTGGGGTTTTGGTTTAGAGGTTTAGGGTTTAGTTGGGGGGTGTGGGGTTTAGGTTTTAGGGTTTAGGAGTTTAGGGATTCTGGGTTACATCATCGTTGGTTAGTGACACACCAGGTAGCTACCTGGAGCCGTGGGTAAACCTTACAAAAACACATGACACTCGAGAGTCCACACTAAACCCTATAATCCCTAAACTTTCCCTAGGACCGTAAACCCTAAACCCTTCTAAACCCTACGCCTTTAACCCTTCTAAACCCTAAACCCTTCTAAACCCTAGGCCCTAAACCCTACAGTAACGCAGGGCCTTGGCATTCCTGGATGGCTGCAGCATGGCCACAAAGCTCCAGCAGGAGGCAAAGGGAAACAGCAAGGAAAATGCACTGCTAAACACAACATTGTGCGAAAATCAAAGGATCGTGCATGGGTGGGGGCGCAACAGCAGAAGTAACCCTACAAGCCTAGACTACGGTCTTATGAGTGTATATACTCGAGGAAGAGATTATGGCGAGGTTTCAAACTGTCAGCCGGAGATGCGTTCTGTGTTCCTTCTGCAGGTTCCATGTCCTGAAATAGCAGATTGTGACCCTTTAACCTTAAGGCCACCCCACGTATTTTGCAGGTACATGGGCCCTTCGGGATATGGTCGTCCAGAACGACCGGAGATGGTCTGTTTTGAGGTCCTCTTACGAACCTGTCGATGCGCATTCCAAGTGATTTTAGCTACGGATAGATCGTGTTAGGCTGTCCTAGGGACATAGAACCAGTCTAATTACTTGTCGAGTATCATGGGGAAGTAAAGGTCAAGCTGCTTGGTTATATGGGGAATATACAGGGACTATACTACCCAAGAAGGTCAAAGATTACCTACTCTACTACTAGGCAGCTTAAATCTTGCGCAGGCCGCGCAGCCAAAAGCAAAGCTGGAGCCACGGCAGCGGGACAGCGTACCATCCCGAAGGCTCCCTGTACCCTTTAGATCAAAGGGGAATAGGAGGGTAGGTATATACCTTTAGTATAGCTATTATATACCCAGTATATAGCCCATTATAGTGTAGGGGTCCCCATTAAGGGTCCCTCCTCTTCCCCTTTTGATTAGAGGGTTCCTGTAAGGGGTTCCCTGTAAGAGTTCCATAAGAGTTTAGGGTTTAAAGTAAAAGCCAGAAAGTTGGAATATGATTATCCTGAACCCTTATTTATGGTAAATTATAAGGTATCCTACCCTAAAACCATATTCCAACTTTCTGGAGCTCCCTTTAGGGTATAGGGGCCCCTGGAACATAAATTACCGGCCACATGGTCAAGAAGATTCCACAAGAAAACAAGGCTACCTATGATTTATAGATCAAATCAGAGCAAGACATAATCAGGCTTATCTCAAGGGGCGGTGTCAGAATTGGGAGGACCCTTGGGGATATAGACACTCTCAGCAAGGTCCCTTTAAGAGAGCCAAGGTTAAGGTTAAGAAGGGTCCCTTTTAGCGGGTCTCCCAAATACCACCTAGGATTTGCAAAAGTCGGGAGATTTCAAAACCGAAGTGTCTTTGGCCCCTACAGCCAGAAACCTCACACCCCAAAACCCTAAATCAAAGAACTTCAAACCCCAAATTCTCCGAAGCCCCGAAACCATGCTGCTTTTACAAGCTGTGCGCATCGCCGCGCTGCAGCTGAGCAGCTGCGATCTCCCACTCCGTAGTTGGAAGATTTAGGGTATTTATAGGGCTTAGGCAGTCGCCTGGCTCTATGTACCCATATAGTAGACTAAGGCCTTAAAGTACCTCTATAGGGACCCCTTTAAGGCGTTGGAGCCTGAGGGGTTCCAAGAAGAAGGTTCCAGTAAGAGTTCTTTCAAGGATACCACTGACATCATACTAGAGATCTTATCATGCTATAAAGGGCATGGAGCAGCTCATGATGGAAGTCTCACTACACTCTAAACCCCTGAACTCCTATAAAAAAACACAAGTTTACACACATAATATATATATATATATATATATATATGTATATACACACGTACCAATATGCATATATATATGTATACTTCTATTTATGTTCAGGTATATCTGTACATACATATATATATATATATACACATGTGGATATACGTATGTTTGTATTCATGTATATCTATTTTTGTAAATATATGTACATTATATATACATATATATATATATACATAAATTCATTTAGTTACTCTGTTTTTCCAAACCTACTTTATGTGTCTCATCAGCCTATTGGAAGATCGCGCAGGTCTTGTGCTGTACAGTGGCGCGCATGCCACTCGCGAAGCTACCAGAGAGCTATTATGATTGGAAGCCCGAAGGGTTTCATCAGAGCTCAAATCCCTAGACCCTGCACCCTAAAAACCCTAAAAAAAACAAAATCCCTAAAATCCCGAAAATCACTGAAATCCCTAGACACCCTAACAAGCCTTCGGAGCTCTAGAAGGGTCTATGAGCAGTTTCACAGAAGCCTTCTCGAGAGCAGGGCACGAGCCAAGAGTAGTAGTTAGGGTTGCAACATGACTTGGGTTTTTCTGAAAATGGCGGACCCTAATACAGTACCCAAAATAGTAGGATCCTTATTATAAGGACCCCGCCAAAAAAAGTACACTTTTCTTTTCGGAAACCCTCACATGGTTTCAGACATGGGCCCTCGAAGGGTTTGACATTTTTTGGGTTGTACGGGCCTGACAGCTGGTCATTCCACAGGAATCCTGGACCTTTTTGAAAGCCTGCTTGGAGGTTCATGGGACTTAGTAAGTACAGTTATAAGTACCTTAACTGGGGTTATAAGTAATTATAAAGTATGGCTACCTTATTTATAACCCTAGTTAATAAGTCCCATGAACCTCCAAGTGGGCTGTACGGAGCCCTGAGACTGGAAGCCCGCATAGATTGCTTGAGAGGGTCCCTCTGTTGGCTTACCCTGCGGTCCTATGTACGCAAACAGGGTTCCTTTAAGGGTTCCTATAAGGGTTTAGGGTTTAGGGTTTAATGGTCCATGTACCTAAATAGTGTATACTTTGGCCTTCAAGTAGTCCCTATATAGGTACTTTGGGACCAAAGTATATGACATTTGGGTACATTGACCCTTAGGGTTATAACAAGTGTCGCGGCTCCTTGCATACCGGAACAGGGTAAGCCAGGAACAGGAACGGAACTCTAAGTGCGACCGTCTGAACCCTAAAACCCTGCACCGCATGAGGGTCCCTTCGGCAGCTTTTCTATTGTAGGGTTCCGTGCAGTGGCTCCCTATAGCAAAAGTGACGCCTTGTTTTGCGGATCCGCAACGCCTCCTAACCTAAAGCCCTAAACCCAAACCCAAAGCCTTGAATCCCCAAGCCCTAGACCCTAGAGAGTGATGATGATGACGACGATGAATCTAAATCGCTTTATCCAGACACCCTTCGGGCCTCAATGAGAGCATCAAGGAAGATCCTACAAGTGGAAGCCTGAACTCCGTATGGTTTAGAGCTTAGGACTTAGGGCTCGTTCTTAAGAGGGCTTAGGGTTTAGAGGTTGGGGGTTTGAGGGATGAGTGGTGTAGGCTCGGAAGGCAGCTGGCGGGGTTAGATCTCATGAACTGAATCCATCCGATCCCTGATTATCATGTACTCTGCCGCAGCTCAGTCGCACTTGAAGAATGGGTACTTCGGCTTGACCTACCAGCTGCGCCAATCTCAAGGCTCGCGATTTGGGCTTGAGGCAGAGGGCCTACTATCGGGGCCTTCATAATATTTAGAATAGGGTTTAGGAGCCCATTATCCTAGAATTACTAGGAAACCCTAAAGGTTCGGGAATGCCGGGTAGAGGCTCGAGTTAGTTGACAGTTTAGTTATTTCAGGGGTTCCGGATTTATAAGGGGTTATAAGTTATAAGGGCTCTGAAATTTGGGTTTGAAGGGATGCAGACTATACCCTAAACCCTACCCTAACCCCAAAGGACCATCCTGAACAGACCCAAATGAACCAGGGACTGAATCCTGCAAGGCGTACCTGAAGCACGCGTAGACTTAGCGTAGAGCAGTGCTACCTTCCCTGTACATGATGGATGGGAATATGCCGGGAAAACAGGAGCTACCGAAAAAAGGATGTGAGTTTAGGGTTTGACCGCAAGCAATAACCTTCAGTGGAGTCATTCCAGTTGCCATGGTTTAAAGGGAACTCCAGAAAGTTGGAATATGGATTAATGGTAGGGTCCCCTATAATTTACCATAAAGGGGTTACGATAATGATATTCCAACTTTCCGGCTTCTACTGTAAGGTACCTTGGTTACTGTAGGTTGAGAGGTCATTAGACTCAGGGAATCCGACTATCACTCATGGCGTATTCCTGCCACAAGCCCTAAACTGTTTGAAGCTTGAACGTCCCTAGATCCGACAGCCGAGCCCATGAACCAGTACCCCAAGCCCTAAACCCGAATCCGAATCTAAGTTGCAAGTTTGGGGTGTAGGGTTCAGGGTTTGCGGCACAGGTCTAGGGCTTACGGTCTGGAGTCTAATGCACGCCTTTGCTTAACAAAGAGTGTAGGGTTTACGAGGGTTTAAATTACGGATCTTTAAGTACCTAAACGGATCTAGAAGAACTCTATAGGGCTTCAGGGTGCTGATACACCACCTTTCAAAGGGCGATGAAATTCAACAAGATCCGCATTATATCCTGTATCAACGGAGAGGAGTTACCCTAAATCCTACACCCTAAACCCTAAGCCCTAAGCCCTAATCCATTATCAAACCTCACGGCCTGAACCGTCAAGCACCTTAAACCGCAAATCCCGAGACCCTGAAACCCTACACCCTACATTCCCTAAATACAAAAAGCTTAGAGGAACCCTTGCCTTAGACCCTGCAAGCCGTGATGTACTGGGAGGTATTAGTAAGTAATGTTATCGCTGCCTTAATTGGGGGTCATGTTTACCTTGTTTATAACCCTAAACCCTAATAGTGAGTCACATGAACCTTGAATTAGTCAGGCCTTGCCGTTGGCCTGCTCTGCTGGCTGAGAAGATGCAGCTTGCCCAAACCTTCCACGGGATAGAGTTCTATTGGGACTTTTGGGTTCATCATGGAGTTATTGCGATATTTAGAATTATGTGTATCTCTATATGCATATATATATATATATACACATATACACATATATATATATATATATATATATTGATTGTACAGATACAAACATGTTTGTTCTGATGTGCTTGTGTGTGTGTGGGTGTGTCTGTTTCGGTTCGTAAGAGCCTGCAGGTTGATATTACGTAAAGCCTAAACCGTTGCTACTTTGGGCTTCAAGATGCGCTTCGGTTGAATAATGCTTCGCTCGAGCTGTACAGGTCTGTTCAGGGTTGCAAGGTCTGGTGTTCAGGATATGCCGCTTGCCCAACACTCCGAACCTTGTATAACCTGAGACTCTAAATCAGAAACCATAAACCCGAAAGTAGCAAGGTCTTCACAAAATGCCCTGAAGTACTCTATAAAGTCCTGTTGTCCCGAAAGTTCCTGAAACCGAAGCCCAAAACCCTTAACCCTCGCCTGAACTCAACTTTAGGTTTCGGGGTTGGGGGCCTGAGCCCAAGGGCTTAGGCTTCAGTCTTTACCGGGTGCAGGAACTAGAATGCCCGGTAACCTAGGAATAACAAGGGCTCCCTTTTTGGTATTGGGTAACTTTACAGGAAATCTAGGACTACAAAAAGGGAATAAGGGCACTGCTGGGCATCCTAAGAACCCTCCCTAAACCCTAAACCCTGCCCTAAACCCCTAAATCCTAAACCCTAAACCCTTTATAAGGAACAAGGGTACTGCTGGGCATCCTAGGGAAATTGACGTGTCAAGCTTTAGGGATTCAGGCCTGGCGAGGGGAAACCCTAAAGCCCTCGAGCAGAACTTCCCTAATTAGGAGTCACACGTAGCTGTTTAGGGTTTAGGGTTCACGTAGCTCGTACAGGGTCTAGTGTTTGGGGCCTTGGGTCTAGGGTAGTTTGTATTTTGGCCCTAATGTACCGATTAACACCAACAGTGAATCCAAAAAACAAGCCTAATGTAAAACAACCCTAGGGCTCGCACGAACCCAGCCCAATAAACCCCAAAGTAACACCAGAGAAAACCCATACTCTTTAAAGGACCCTTCGGAATTCTTGCTGGGGATCGGGCCAGGTCGGTTTGTCGACGGCTTCAGAGCTTTCCAGGGACGCCATGCCCCAAACAGACCGAGCATGCCTGTGAGGGTTCGGGGCTTAGGGACGCCTTTAAGGGGGGCTTCCTTGAATTGAATGTTGTTTAGGGTTGCGCGTTGAGGCTTAGGGCTTAGGGTGGGTGGTCGAGGGGTTGGGGTTCACGGTTTTTGGGTGGCAGATTATGGCTTCGGACTGTTTTTTTAAGTGCTGCTCGATTTTTTCATTTTTGGAGGGTAGGTTCGGGTTGTTGTTTATGATTTTAAGACTTTTTTTAAGTGCAATGGCGTCTTTCTGTTGCACAGCGTCAGAGAGCAACGCCCGCCGCACCTACGGGGCTTGCACTATCATGACTGTCTGGTTAAAACTTTAGGCTTCGTGGCTCAGCGTTGCGGTGTCTTGCTTGGAGTTCACGGCTTCTGGCTTAAGGGGGTCATGGTTTAGGGTTTAAGGTGTATCCTTCAGGGTTTTTCAGTGGCCGACTAGGGCTTGGGGTATGAGGAGGGTGAGGGCAAAGCGAGAGAGTTACGGGGAGCAGTACGGGCGTGGGCCACTGGATAGATTGTTTCAGCTCGTGGATTGCAGGTTGCAGTGGCCCGCGAAACCTGAGGGCTTGCACCCACAACTCTGCAACTCGGGTGCCACTCCCAAATGCAAAACACGTAAACCCTGGACCCTAAGTCCTAAATTCCCCTCAACTCGGAAAATCTAAACCCTGCATCCCCGAACCCGTAAACGGGTTCTGAGGCCACGGCCCCTGGTGCCTGCCAGACACAGGCTGGCATAATTACTTAGAATAGGGCTCCGTTAAGGATTCTGAAACTCTTGTAGAAGTGTTATTAAAGGGGTATCTACAATGGGTATTGAGGGTTCATTGGCCAGAATAGCCACGCGGAAACTCGCATCGTTGGTGTGGGAGTTGGGAATCATACGAGTTAGGGTGTGGCGTTTCGGGCTTGGGATCTAGAGTGTAGGGCTTTGGGTCCAGTCCTTTGCTCAGGTTGTGTGTGTGTGTGTGTTCACGGTTTAGTGCGCATGACAGATCCTAATACCTCTCCCCGAAGCCACAGCCTAAATCAAACACACGAAAAACACCTAGGCCCCCCCCCTCCCCCCCGCGATACAGCCTATGCCCTAAACTTAGGCCCTAAACCCTACCACCAACCGCCAAGTAACTAAACACCCTTTAATAGAGCCCTTATGCTCCTGAATAGTGGGTATTTAAGGTATAAAACAAGGTAGTTGCGAGGTGCTGGTAAGCCCTAAACCCCAAATCCTACACCCTAAAGCCTAAAACCCTCCAAACCCCTAGATCCCCAAACCCCAAATCCTAAACCCCCAACTCCTAAATCCCAAATCCCTAAAGCCCCCTAAAGCCTAAACCCAAAAGATCTCTTATAGATCCCTTTAAAGGAACCCTACTTGGAGGTTCATGCGACTTACTGAGTACAGTCATAAGTACCCTACCTGGGGTTACACGTGCATATAAGTGTAGTTACCTTAAGTATAACCCTAGTTACTACGGCCCAAGAACCTCTAAGTAGAAACCACCGAAAAAAAACAAACAACCGCCGCAAGCCTAAGGTCGCCCCAGATTCTGGGCTCTTTCATCTCAGCATTCGCATCCTCGGCGAGAACAGTCGGAAATGCTGTAAAGTTTGGGGTTTAAGGTCTCATTTAAGGTTTAGGTTTAGGGCTTGGGTTTAATTTTAGGTCTTTGAGCTTAGGGCCGGTTTAAGGTTTAATTTGAGGTTTATAGGGTTTAGGGCTCAATTTAAGGTTGGGTTTAGGGTAGGGTTTAGGGAGAGCTCACTCCTTCAGTGTGGCGAGTGGGCCGCAGTGCAAAAGTGCAAGGTGGCTTCTTCAAGGGTTCAGGGTTCGAGCATAGGGCCTTGGCATTGAGCTGAGCCTGTTTGCAGGTTCATGGGACTTGTAAGTCCAACTATGGTGTTTGGGGTTATTGGTATACTTTTATCACACGCCAAACGTTGCAAACTTACAGTGTAAGCCGAACATGCCACCAGCATATGGGTAGTTGACAAAATTATGATCCCTTTTTGGGTCCCCCTATTATTTCGGGTACCCCAAAAGGGGCCCATAAGTTTGACAACTACCCGTACAGGGCCCCGGCCAGCGACGAAATGATGGTGTTCACCCTCCTGGGTAGCATCAGCGTGAGCTTTATGAGAGAAGTGGGCTAAGACTCTGGGATCCTATAGCCCTAAAGCCTCGCTAGAGTCTCGATTGTAGTTCCCTTTTTGGGATACCTTATAGGATCTTACATACAAAGTTGAACCAACAAAATCAGTACAACAGAGACTCTAGGTAGAGCATGCTAAGGGTTTAGGGTTTCCGGGTTCAGGAAATTAGGGTTCAGGGGTTCTGGGTTTAGGGGTTTAGGGGTTTAGGGTCTTAGGGTAAGGGGCTGCTTCTGGGGTCCAAGTCTTAAAGATTGACTCACGAGCTTCGGGGTGGATGGTCTGCCGAACATCATGTTACTTGGGGAGTTCTCTCAATTAGGGTCCGTTTTAAAAGGCTGCCGTACTCTTTTGGGGATCTAGAAAGGGACCCGATTTAGAGAACTACCCACATTACATCCCTGAGGCTCCTATCCCAAAAACTGGGGAAGATACCCTTAACCTATGATAGGACCCCTACAAGTAATATGGATTAAGGTATATATTCCTTGATCAACGGGGTTTCGGGGGCTCTGGATTGTGGGTCTTCGCGAGTATAGATAGATAGATGGGTAGGTAGATCGGGCTTGCTAGGAATATTGGTGCGTGTATCTCAGGGTGCTGTTGTGGGGATCTTTAATAACCCGAGAATGACAAAGAACCATAGTTGAGGAGCAATATTGATAGCTTATTCGCCCTATCTTAGGCTTGTAAGCCATGCGCGATAACATCTGCAAGATAACCCTCTAGGTTTAGGAGCTGGGTACTACAAGCCAGTGTTCGAGCCACCGCACCACATTCTTAGCAACAGTATGCACGTCCACGGGGCGGTTCCGTGCATTATATAGGAGTGCATGCGGATCGGATGCTTTGTATTCACGTAGGGAGGTGCAATACTCTAGGGCTCCAGATCAGAATTACTACCCACATATCCCAGTAACCCACTCTTTAGGCAACTGGAGCCCTAGGGATAATGCAGGAGCCTTAATAATTAGAATATGGCTTTGGGGTATATTGTACTATACTTATAATAAGGACCCCTCCCCAAACACGGTTGATGATGTACCCATAATAAGGAATATACAATAATTCGTTTAGGGTTGTGGAGGTCATGCAGGATTTACTTCATCAACAGTAGTATTGCCAACTATTAAGGCCTCTATAGTAACCGTTTCCCTTGCGTCCCAAGCCTTGACCTCCTCAGACCTTGACTGAGTGTTCCTTTAAGGGTTCCTTTAAAGAGGGGTCTATAAGGATGACTATAAGGGGTATTATCATGATGTGGTTTAGGGGCCTCAAAGAAGAAATCCCTCCCTCAATTCCATAACCTACCCTCTGCCTGAACCCTGCAAAACTTGCCTTTTTTGCCTACCTTTTTCGGGCCTTTTTTATCAAAAAAAGATGAGTTCTATTGGGTCCAGGTATTCCTTATCTCCCATAGAAATCAGTCGCATGAACCCGACAACCTGACTTGCAGCCGCGGTGCGACATCGCTGCGGCGGCACTTTCGTCCCCCCGCCAGCCGTTTTGAGCCACAACTATATTAAAGTTTATGGACATGGGTTAATCATCCCGAAAGAACCAGGCACACGATTTGCATCAACACAAGGATCCCCGAGCATCTGAGCGACAACTACGGCCTCAATGACGTCTTGAATACAACATTGCTGTGGTGATTATTTTTCGATGTATGATGGTGACTGAAATGAATGCGTTGCTGGCTGAATCTGTAGGGTTGGTAGATGGGTCTTCACTTACACTGAAGCGATGTTGCACCTGGCCGTGCAGCAGTTTGTGCTTGATCCCAGATGCTGTGCTGTTGGCAGGCTTGATAGAACCGACACGCCGCCTTCGCGACCTCACTGTACAAAGGTCCGCATCTGCTGTGAAGGCCGCAGCTTGCGCAACCAAAGCTGCACACAGGGCGTCAAGCTGCGCCACCGGACAAAATCTCAGGCCACAAATTAGTGCAAACCCTGAAGCCTAAACAGTGCAGTGCACCAAAGAGCCAACTCAAGCGACAGGAAACACATCGTGCCGGACGACATCCACTGCAGGAGGTTGGAATGCAACCTTCGTTGCGATGTTGTTGACATCGTCAACCTTCAGTTGCTCCTGATGGGTATACAAAGAGTAACCTGGAACCCTAAACTACACTGAACAAGTGAATGCGACATAGTAACTGGGGGTATAGATAAGGGAACTGTGCATTTTGATTGACCCTCAGTGTCCATGTACCCAAATAGTATATACTTTGTCCCCATAGTAGCTATATAGGGACTATGTTGAGGCCAAAGTACATACTATTTGGGTACATGGACCCTTAGGGTGATGAAAACCCCAGTTACGGCAGGTATAACTGTACTCTGAGCCTCCAAGTAGGGTATACTTAGAGTGACCATTACACCTGTAAAGAAAGCACATGACCCTTAAGAAAGGTACATCTCCTTTTCAAAGAGTACCCTGCTGCTACTCTAGGTGCACACCTGGACCCTGCAGAAATTAGACCTGTTCCAGGCTCTTGCCTCTGTGTTTTCTTCCGATGCATATGTAAGGTTAGGGTCATTTTTTGCCAAAGTTCAGGTCGGCTTCTAAGTTTGAATCTCTTTGCTATCCGGCTTGGAAGCCCAACGGACTGGAATCTGAGCTAGGCTTTACACTGTACATTACAGTCATGACGAGACCTCATACCCTACCCCGTTTTGAGGGTACCCTCTTTTCTTTACAACACTCCTAAACATAAAACTAGGTATCCCAAAGAAGGGGTAGGGTATGAACCTCCAGGTAATCTGTTGATGATACAAATCCTGCATTACCCATAACGAGGAAGATACCACAACTCCAATAGCTTAGGGTCCTTAAGGTCCTGCAGGACTATATATATATATATATATATATATATATATGTATATATATATATATATATATATATATATATATATACACATGCATACATCATCAACCGTATCATAAGGACTCATGACAAGTTGCGGTTCCTTTGGTGATACTCAGCGGCTCAAGGGGCCACCACGACAGAGCAGTCAGCATTTCCCATCATCGGCAAACTTCCCATCGATTCAGGGTTTGATAAACCCTAAACCCTAAACCGTGTTTTGGGTTTAGGGTTTAGGGTTTAGGGAAACCCCATAAAGTAGGGAACCGAATAAAGGCCAAATAGTGCTGGGATTTCTTATACATTGCTCTGAAGGATTGAGGCTATTGGGTTTCTGTTTTTTAGGTTTGGTGTAACCCTGTGCTTCCGGTTGATGGTATAAATCCTGCATGACCTTCAGGACCCTACACTATGGGAATAATGGAATTTTCCCTATTATACCTCAACAGTTCCAGGGACCTTATGATCCGGTCCTTAAGGGCCCTTTGGCCCTAACTATAAGGCCCTTGGAAGCATAGGGTAAGGTCCGTGGGCTTACCCAGAGGGTCTAAGTACCCAAATAGTAGGGTTTGACCCCCCAAAATACATACCCTGAGTGGTTTTTGGACCTTGAAACCCTGTTATTCGGATACTTGGACCCTTAGGGTTAGGGTTCAGCAAGGCATCTACTTTCCCATGGAGCTGCGACTTCGGGACTGGGTCGAGTCTATCTTCCGCCTTTCCGGCACAAAACCCTAAACCGGAAATTCTACCAGCACTCCCCAAATACCCTGGGCATCAAAATAGCCCAAAAGCCTTATATATCATGGTCTTTGGGCCCAACAGCCCTAATATATGAGTCCTTAGAGCCCTAAGGGTATACACCCTTTAATTGAGCCCTTATGGTCCTTCATAGTGGTTAGTATTTCTGGTATAGTAGAGGGTACTTTGGGGGGGGGGCCCCCACAAAAAAAACAAAAGTACTCCCCAAGAATATTTAATAGAGCCCTTAGCGGGTATTTTTGGTAGGTGCTGATAATCCCCCAAACCCTAGACCAATAGCAATCCTAAACCCAAGTATCTAGTTATTGGGTCCTTTGAACCCTTAGGGAATAGCACCTGCAACCTATGTCAACACACAGGGCTTCTCACTTATCCGGGCTTCGGGTTTCACGGTTCAGGGTTTAGATAGGGTTCCAGAAACGGGTCCCCTCTAAGGGTACTACAGGGTTCGAAAGTAGAGTCGCCTTTAAAAGGAAGTCTCAGGTCCTAGAATATGGTTTAGGAGCCCTGAACCCGAAACAGGTAATGCAAATCCTTTCCCGAATCCCGTACTGAACCGAATGGGTTCCACAAAAAAACCTTACCGAATGCTCCAAACTCGCGCTACTACTTGGGTGTTTTAGAGAATGGAGGGCCTGAATATGGGAGTTTCCAAAAATGGGGGACCCTAGTATAGTACCCTAAGTAGTAGGATCCTTATTATAAGGACACCAAAATAAGGTACTCCCATTTTTCGGAAACTCATACAGACTCGAAACAGAATCCACACATAAACAGGAGACCACCCAACTCAAGCGCTGCAGCAGAGGTACTGCAAGCGAGGGACCCCGACCGAACAAAAAACACTGCACTGTACACGCATGATATATTAAGCTAAAGGTGATTTAGTTTATCGGTGTTTCGCTTATAGCACCGATAGTATATCCTGTAATTATGAATGTGTAGGACTCCACTTCATAAGCCGCATTAACATCGAACCCTGAACTCGAAGCCGTCCTTCATGAAGTCGAACTTGGTTTCTGCCAGGCGACCGCTGTCGGTACAGGCGCGGTAGAGACCCTCACATCGACATTGTCTTGTCTGAGTTGCTCTACGGCCCTAGTTGCACGAAGTGTAGGTGACTAACCACACATTGTCATTATGTCACCCAGTACCCATTAATTCATGCAGCTGGAGCCCCAGGGTGAGTTATTGTATGTCAGGACTTATCTGAGCTAGCGTCTGCTACCTGTCTTCCCAAGCAACTGGATGCGCAGTGCCGTACGTACCCCTAAACCCTAAGCCCCGAGCCCTCGTCCCTAAACTCACTCACCAGCTGCTTGTGCTTTTGGGTCTGCCAAGGAAAGCGGAAAGAGCCTCTGAGGCCTTGAGGTTTCAGCTTATGAGTACCCCTATAGCCCAGAGACTCCAAGAGCCCTTAATTAAAGAAAATTCCTTAAACCATATTAGGGGCAAGGTATATTCCTGAATTAAGGGCTGGTGTATTCCTTAATTACGGGCTAGTGGAGCGCCTGGGAGTAACCCCTAGACGAACCCCTGAAAGGAACCCTTAGCCCGTTCCTTCAAGGGGTCAAGCCGGGAGCTTAATCCTTATAGAGCCTCAATCCTTAACGGTTTAGGGTTTAGGGTTGAAACCATGGGCCCAGGGTTTGGGCCCTTAACCTTGGGATCCTTATATCGATATACCCTATATAGACTCTTAAGGGTCCCTAGAACCCCCTCAAGAAGGGCCAAGGGTCCATATTTGGGGCCCATACTTCCAACCATGGACCTTTGAAGGGATCCTACCATAAGGCCTCCTATGGGCTGGGTCTTAATTTTTCTTGGGAGCTTCAACATTCGGATGCAGTGATAGAGCTTAAGCCAAGTAGTCATGTACAGTGGCTGCATGAGATTTAGTTTTACAGTTTGGCGGTTCGTGGACGTTTGTATACTCGATTACAGTTCTTAGTCACGAAGGCTGGCCTTTGCTATCCTTGAGGGTCCCTGAGGGTCCATGTACCCACATCGTAGATACTTTGGCCTCGAAGTACCTATGCTTCAGAGTTTAGACCTCCCGGTGTTCGCAAAGAAGCTGATTCAATTGCAGACAACTCCAAAATCCAAAGTCAAACCGTCCACCGACCTGACCGTAAAGCCTAAAGCTGATCTTTGGGAAAGCTTCGTGCCGCAAGAACTGGCTCTGCTTCGGAAAAATGCCTCGAGATCGTCGATGGCTGCCGCGACATCCTCGGGCGTCGGCACGCCCCCCTTGACCTCAGTAGGGCTTAGAGTTCAGTCTTTAGGGTGTAGGGCTTAGGCTCTAGACCCGCAATGGGGTCAAGCCCAGATGATCAGCATCCTTTTTCCCTAAAAGTGCATGTACCCGAATAGTATATACTTGGCCCCAACACCACCTGTATAGGGACTACGTATACTTGAAGGCACAAGTACATAAAGTTTGGTTACATGGACCCTTCAAGTGAGTAGTATGAGGTCTATCTACTTTTCAAATCCTCCCGGGGTCTGTGAAGGCTCCATGTAGTGCAGGCTCTGCACTGTTCACCTGGCGATCCAAAAAAACTACTCGTTTACGGGATAGACCCTGTAATCAAGGGGTCATAACCTACCAATTTTGTAGGGTTTGGGGATACAGGTAGGATTTATTGTCTAGGGTAACCTGTGCCACGGATTCCCGCACCCGCCATTCGAAACCCCAAGTCGTGAACAATGCACCAATAACCCGCAAGCCCAAACCCGAATCACTCATAGCCTTGCGACAGCATTGTACATCACAACGGTGACGGTCACGTGCTCGGTGTCATTTCGCTTGGGCGACTTGATGGAAAGGCCTCCGACAGCTCTTTGTCTTCAGCTAGACAGTTGGGTCGAAGGATGTACACTTAAGGGCCTGTGGACGGTATACACCCTAGTATAGAGGTACCCTAGGGTCACAGTCAGTATGTATGTATGTATGTATGTATGTATGTATATATATATATACACATACTACATAGACCCTTAGTTGGTTGTGCTTTGTGAGCTCGCTTGTGGATTCGGGTTTGGGTCTAGGGATTAGGGTTATGGCAACTTTGCACTTAGGGCTTGAAGGGCTTGTGGATGTGAAAGTGCAGTTGTCATGAGAACGGGACTTTGCTTGCGTGTTTGTCTGAAGTAACCCAGGTTTTGGGCGTGCAACAACCATAAACCCACGTGGAACCCCAGGCCATATTGAAAGAACCACTTAACCCTACACCCTAAACCCCTAAACTCTCTTCTAGCAGTCGTTTCGGTTAAACGCTAAACCCCTACACTCTCTTCTAGCAGCCCTTTCGACTAAATCCTAAATCCCTATACCATAAATCCTGAGTTCTATGTAGTTGCAAAACCTGAGTTCTATGCAGTTGCAAAGGGGTAGTGATCGGATGCCAGAACCCTGAGGTTCGCTGCTCTATAAGGGTTACTATAAAGGCACAAAGGTTATGATCAGGGAAGGTTCTGGTTTCACGTGCGATACGATTTACATTCCCAGGCGATAGCTGCCGTGATGTTCTTTCTCCTGCTCATGCTGTCGGCCATGGGCAGCAGCAGATGGCTTCAAGCACGCCGAAAGTTCAGGGTTAAGGTGCTGGGTCTGTACTGGTTGACTGGGATAAGGCAGACTGTTTCCTAAGGGTCTGAAACCCTATGACCCCTTTAGCTGCTAGCTTCCAACTACAGCTCATGCGTTTACGCTCGTTGTAACCGCCCGTGAGGGTTTCAGTCTGGATGAGGAATATACCTTCAATCATATTAAGGATCCTACTATATTTTAAGGTACATTCCTTAATATTAACTAAATTGAGGGATTTCAGAGACTCTGGGAAGGGCCTGCACAAGGCCGCAGGCTAAAAGGTTGAGGTTGTGGCCTTGGGTTTTCAACAGACGCATGGTTGACGATTTGAGGGTTTCCGAAAATTAGGGATACCCTATTTTGGGTTCTTATAAAAAAGATCCTACTAATCAGGGTACTATATTAGAGTCCCCTATTTTCGGAAACTCCCATTTGAAGAGCAGGGTTCTTTGCTTAGTAGCTGCCGGCTTCAACTTTGCTGTCGGCGCCATCTTCCGGAGTGGAGTGTACTTGGAGGTTCGTGGGACTTAGTGAGTACATGTGATAAGTATAACCCCCTCAACTGGATATGTAGATTGTCAAGAGCTACACTATCTAAAAGCCTACTTACTAAGTCAGTACCATGAGGGAGTTTCCGAAAATTAGGGGTACCTTATTTTGGAGTTCTTAAGATAAGGATCCTACTACTTGTATTTCGGGAACTATATCAGGGTCCCCAATTTTCGGAAACTCCCATGAATCTTTACAGTAAGCGCCATAAAGTTGGAAACCGGACTGATTCCCTATACATGACTCTTAAGGATTGAGGCTATTGGGTTTCCAATGACGCTATTGAGTTTCCAAATTTTGGGCTTCTAATATCATAGTAGATACTGGGTTCCTCAAAAGGGTTCCCCTAAGCGTTCCTTCGAGGGGCTCTATAGGGTTTAGGGTATAAGTGTCCATGGTACCCCAAAAGTAGATACTTGAGCCTCAAAGGGGTGCCTACATAGGTAGTGTAAGGCCTATAAGTACATACTATATCCCTGGGCATCAAAAAATAGCCCAAATCCTTATATAGTATGGTCTTTGGGCCCAAAAAGCCTTAATATATGAGTCCTTTGGAGAGTTCCCTTAAGGGTTTCCTTTTAAGGGTTCCTTTAATTACAGGAGTTCTATAAGGGTTTTATAGGATTTAGGGTTTAAAAGCCCGTGTACTCAAATAGTATATACGTTGGTCCCAAGGTACCCACATGGGGACTACCTTAATGAGTTAATAAGGCCAAAGTATATACTAGTCGGGTACGTGGACCCTTTGGGTACTGTGTGCAGGCCCACTCCAGCAAGCTCAGGCCCAATGCCCCTCAAACCTACTTAGAGGTTCATGGGACTTAGTAACTGGGTTTATAACTAAGGTAACTACACATATATGTACTTATAATCCCAGTTATGGTACTTATAACTGTACTTACTAAGTCCCATGAACCTCCCACTATAGAACCCTTATAGCTCCCTTTAAGGAACCTTATTATAGAGCCCTGTAGTACCCTTAGAGGGAACCCTAAACCCTACTTACTAGGTCCCATGAACCTCCAAGTATCAAAGCCCTCAGCATGCCCAGAGCAGGTCCGGTGGACGGAATAATGTGTGAGCCATTACACTTGTAGTACGCCCTCGAACCCCTAAACCCCTAACCCCTAAACCCCTAAACCCCTAAACCCCTCAACACTGAACCCCTAAACCCCTAAACCGCTAAACCCCTAAACCTCTAATCCCTAAACCCCTGAACCCTGAACCCCCAAACCCTAAACCCCTAAGCCCTAAGCGCCCCCTATAGACGACCCAAAGCCCCGAGCGCCCGGCCTGACCAGACGTCGTGCTCCGTGCCGCGCGAGACCCGGGCAGCGCTGCTGCGCCCTTGCGGCGCCGCGGCAGTGTTCAAGCTGCGCTTTAAGCTTCTGCTGCACCTCAGCTTTTCTTAAGGGTTCCTTTAAGGGCTCCTATAGAGGATCTACAGGGTTTAGGGTTTAGGGTTGCTTTTAAACGGGGGGCCTATAAGGATTCTTAAAGGGGTCTATCAGACTTACTATAAGGGATCTATAACGGTTTGGGGGGTATCTTATACTGTACTTTCAAGCTTCTGCACCTCGGCTTTTTTTAAGGGTTCCTCTAAGGGTTCCTATAGGGGATCTTGAAGGTTTAGGCTTCAGGGGACTCCAATGCACCTCGGCCTTTACTAAGAAATATTTCTTCAAATATATTGTAGGACTCCTAACATATGGTTTAAGGTATATCGCTGAATTCTGGATATTGGGGTCTCTCTGTTCTGCACCTCGGCTTTTCTGTTGTTGCGTGTCATGGATTGAAGGCTAGCAGGGGCTTAGTTTCACACGGATTTGAGGCTTATTGGCCCTAAGGTTCAAGGGTTAATAGGGTTTTCTTAGGGGTTTAGGGTTTAGACGTCATCAGTTCGAGGCCTCTTGGAACAACGAGTAAGTCTAGGCCTTTTGCTCAAGCCTGGGACCCTGGAGCGTCGGTGTGAGTTCTAGAGTTCATGGGCTTGAGGTTATAGGGCAACAACTTGCTCTGATATCGAAATCCTTGACCTGAAATAAAATCCGAACGCATGATCAGTGCAGAATCTTGTGAAGAACGAGGCCATGTTGGCACAGTTTACGAAGGTTCAACGTTCGATCACTGTCGCAATGTTGCAAGGAGCTACGAGGAGTACCCATAAATCCCAAAACTCAAGCCTGAACTACTCTCAAAGAGATCGGCCACTCTGCCCAGGAGCCGAAGATTTGGGCAACCGCAAAACCACATCCCATCGCCTTCATTCCAAAGCTAAAACCTGTACGGCACAATCCAGTTAGGGACGCGCGATGGCAGGCGCACACAAGAACACACACACACACAGACAGACACAGAAGGATCTTCCCTACAGCAAGGGCCCTACGACTATCATGGGCTCCAAATTAAAGTCCTCGATGTGTACGGGACTTTCGACGCCCCTATACTAAGTCCGTATAATAGCCCTCATAGTAGCCCCTATAGACCCCTTTCACGGAACCCTAAACCCTACAGTGCAGGGAACTATTTAGGCCCCCATATCAACTATGAGAGCCAAGCTGCTCTTTGAGGCTTTGGCACTTGGCCTTCCGACGTGTCGTTGTGAGCTTAATGTCGGGGCCTTAATAATTGGGATTAGGGTTCCTTTACAGAGTCCTTTGAAAGGGGATACTAAAGGCTTCATAGTAAGAACAAGGTTTGCGGGGCTCCTTATTATACTTATAGTATCATATGCCCCCAAACCCAATTCTAAGTGTACAGGCCCCTACATTGAATTACTGCAACCTGTGGCCATGCACTTCGGATTTTAGTTAGGGGCGTCTGTATATCAGGTGCTCAGCACGAGGCTGGAGGTTTCAGGGCTTCACTAAGTAAATGTGCAGCATGTGGAAAATAAAATGATTTAGGTATGGCAGCAGCGCATCACATGTAAACCAAGTAAACACCCAGATGCATGATGCCGCTTATGATGAAGCTGGTGGTGCGGTAACACACCCGGGAAGACTGTCACAATCACGATGTTGATCGTGACAGTTACACTGATGGCGATGGCGATGGTGGTTGATGATACCCCTGCTAATGGCGATCGACCTGCGATGATGATGCTTAGGCTCAGTCATAGTCATGAAGAAAACTGTTTGCGCCGGTGCTGCTGCATGTGTCGATGCTTGTCTTGGCATGAGAGTCTTGCGCCTGTGCATGACGGAAGACCAACGATCGACCCTGCGCGTGATGCTGCTATGAGCTTTGTGAGGTACTATGTGCTTGTGACTCTTCGCTGCATTGTTTCGATCGCAGAACGAAGGCTTTCGTCTCCCCAGAGTCGTGCAAGCCCTAAGCCACAAAACGTAAATCCAAAACCGCTAGACTTACTATCCCAATAGGCCACAGAAATAAAAGATTAAACCTGCCGATTTCTACTAGACCATAAGAACCCAGACAGGTTTAAAGGTTACGTATTGGGGATCTAAGCAGTGTCCCACCTCAAGCTGCCCAATCTCGTCCCAGTCCTCGTCCATGCAGTCCTTTCCGGTTTTAAAGCATTCGCTGTTGCAGTTCGGCGCTGTTGGTTAACAAGAACATCTTGTAGCGAATGGGCTTGCTTTGGAATAACCTTATTCTTCATGACCTTCTGAAGCAAGAGTGTCTATGCGCATTATATATATATATATATATGTGTATATATATATATATATATATATATACCTGCTACCGGCTAGGGTGTCTTATTTCCCGGCGTGTGCATAATAACCGGGTTACTTATAAAAATACGGGCGTGTGCCAAAATACGGTTGTGACGGCTTTAACTGGAACTAGCAATGAGCTCATAAATACACACCGACTTGTTGTGAAGTTGAATTAGAGCCTTTGGGGTTCTGGATTAGCTGGGGATGGTTGTTTTGGGCTTCAGGGGTTTGGGTCTTAGGGTTGGGGCTGTATAGGGCTTGAGTTGAGGTCTCGTAGTTGGGGGCCCTTGAAGGAAAGTTTGGGTCAGGTTTAGGAGGGGGTGTCGTTGTTCCGTGAAAGACAGTTCAGGTCGGGTTTAGGGAAGGGTCTCGTTGTTCCTTGAAAGAATCTTTGGGTCGGGTTTAAGAAAGGGTCTCGTTGCTGGGGCCGAATTGGGTTTGCACCGTCCTGTTCTAATTGTGTTCGGCTTTTGTAGGGTGGAGCGCAGGTGTTTAGATCTCAAAAGCAGTGATGGAAAGACACCTACCTCAAAGCTCATTACTCAAACCTCCCCTAAACCATCTAAAAGGACTACACTGAAAAACCCGAACACCCAGAATTCGAGATCTCAAATCTTTCTGAGAAGTCTTCTGAAAGCTCCCTGGAAACCCCCTTAAAGTTTTGCTGCCTCGCTGGCGAGATGCGGATCGGACCGCTGGGCTCTGAGCTGACGACTTGTCTTCTTCAGGTTTTAGGACACCCCTATATACCCTATAATTTAGAATTTAAGGGCAATTGGGATTAGGGATATTAGGGACTCATCATCACTCGGCATCCAGCTCGACTCGAGTCGCGACCAAATACCGCTGTATCGTTCGTAAGCAGAGCTTCCGTGCAGAGACTCTGCGTGATAAGCGTGAAACGCGTCCGATGTAGTCCTCATCTTGAAACGTCGCTTGCGCTAGTGGATTCAACGTTGCCGAAAGACCAGACCCAGCTTTGGTACACAGCGACAGTGCCACATGGTGAAGGCAATGCAATTTCGGCACAAGGTTGAAGCGGCAAGTGTTGGCCTGAAAGCATATTTCAGCAGCCTTTTGATAACAGGCAAGAAAGTGCATGGCTGATCGGCCGGCAGCAGCGGCTTCGTCATTGTCAAGCCAAAGCCCCCCCCGAAGGAGGGTTCTCATAAAAAGCCCAATTGCACCAGCTGCAGATATCAAAATCGAATGCAAGCGTACGCCGCCCGGACCCCGCTGCTGCAGGACCCAGGCAGCGAAGTCGATCAAGATCGGTGTATCACTCGCTTTGCTCCAATGTCCACAAGGAAATGCGCCTTCTGATGGGAAACCGAGAAGGTCCCGCGTCAGAGAGCGGAAGTGGACAGACTTTCCACTGGACTTCAAGAAACATCGCAGGTCAGCATTCAAGTCCTCGAGCGCCTCCGGGACGGACCCACGGCCATACACACCAAGGGCCACAACAAGGGCGCTCCCCCCAAAATCGCGGCCCACACCAAGATGGTATATGTGAAGCAAGTCCAACGTAAAAAAGGATGCCTTGTCCTGCACCACATGTGGCACATGGTCAAAGAAAGCCGGTACAGCATCCCATGGCGGCGGATTCTTTGGGCCAGTTGTTGAAAGCCATTCCGGATTGTAGCCCAAATTCTCAAAGTCAAACTGTGCAGAACCAGCAAGACAAAGCCAACAGCAGCCCTTGAGTGGTTTCGACTTGGGGCCCTCAGGCCCCTTGCGAATGTGTAGGAAGGTGCGGGTCAGGTGACCACTCTTCGATAAGAAGGGGAGGTCCCCTTTGAGCCCCAAAGGGATAAAGCGCAGCACACGACCGTTTCCAATATCCATGCCTCGAAAATAAAGTTGCTCGAAGTCCTTCATTGTCGCTGTGAGGAAGTTGTCGAATCTTTCAGGATTGTCTTTATATACGCTTTTCGGCATGACCCCAACCAAGAACCTCGTTGTAAAGGAGTGCCCCTTCAGATTTACTCCAAGTTTCGCAGTTGTCAACTTCTGTGGATGGGATAGACGGGTCCCCAGGCCCAAAATGGGCTGAAAAGCAATCACCATCAACTCGTCACGACGATAGGTCCTCCCACCGTCTCCATGGATATAAAGAGGGACCAAGTTGTCATAGTCCACGAAGTCGTGCTCGAACAATTCATGATTCGGCTCCTCCTTTTTGTAGTTAGTCCAGAATTCTCGAAGTCGCGAGGAGCCTTGGGTTTGTTAAAAGTCAGGGTTCGAGGGCTGGCATTCAATATAGATCGACAACTCCGAAAGCTTGCCTGTTACGGACTGATATCTGTAACTACGTTGGGCCCCACAACCTAGAAGCTTAGGTTGTTTCAAAGGCTTTCACAAATACTTTTAGTGATGTAGTCCCAACACATCCAAGACGAGCCCTGGCAATCTGAAAGGGGGCACTCTTTATTTATTTTTCTTCGGATCGAGAGCTTCATAGATATAGGCATGAGCGTTGGGGTTTGGTTTGGTGGTTAGGGGTTCCAGGGCTGATTGTCCTCTAATTACATACAAGGGTTTCCGGGACTATGCAAAAGTTCGGGTTGATAGATATTGGGGCACTAGTGGTTTGCTTTGTTCAGACGTGGTGCAGCTGGAAACAGGACCACCTAGCAGTTTGTGCAGGTAGCCCTTCTCCACCAAAGTAGCAAGATAATCCGTTGGTCGGAGCATCGGCACAGAGCACGTGTCACACAGGTCAATATATGTCCACGGGACATTCAGAGTAAGGTCCCACTTTCGAAGCATAATTTGCAATGTTTTCTCAGCATCATTCAAGGGTGCTTTAGCCATATCAGCCAAGCACGGATTGGCCTCGGTCGCAAAGGCCTTGGCAACGGTGGCCACATGCTTCGCAGAGGCCTCGGCAGAAAGAGAAGGGAATGGGTGGCTAAAGATTCAGAGTCAGCTCTTCAGTTCATGACAATTAGGCTGTATGATGCAAAGCGCTCGTGAAGGAAGCAATGTGAACGATTTTTGCACACCAGCATTCTGCACGAAACGAATTGTGATTCTGGCATATGCAAGATTAAAGCATGCATCATCGAATTGAGCACACCACACACAACCAGAATGGTCAACAAAGAGATGCTAGTTTCGGACCCACCGAGGCAGGTCAGCTCTTGCAGCAACACAGTAGCAATGATACGGAGGATCGAACTTCGCATTGAAATGTCGATTTCGCATTCCCTCCCCACCAAGCTGGACATTGCGACATTGAAGTTTGGGCTGATAGATAGCGATGAGGGCACTTTCTAACATCTCGATCGTGGCCAGGTCATTGCTCGTGTGGATAACAAGCATCTTCGTGTAGCCATTGCTCTCGTAAAGTTGAAAGCGAGGTCCACAGTCATGGGTTATTCCGATTTTGAAAATCGCCAAAGACTCTCCACCAGTATCCCTGCGTAGCTTCTCAACACAATCCTGGCAGTGCTGCAAAACTTTCCCAGCTTGTGTGTTCTGGGATATGCAGCTGTAAGATATCCCATCCGGGACTGCAGTCAAGCTTTTCACGATTGGCCTAGTCACTGCACGAGGTGGCGTGGTTTCAAGGGCATCTTCAGATTCAGAGTCCGAGCCCCAAGGAAAAATCGCATCGATTGCTCTCTTCTGCCGCATGGCGAGGAACTACTGTACTGCCTACAATAGGGCACTAGGCTTCAATAGAACTTGGGCTATATTATAGGTTATGGGCTAAAGTGGATAGGCTTCAGGGTAGATAGCTTAAAATTTGGGATTTAGGGATAGGGGTCTGGGGCTTGTTTGGTAACGTTATGAGAATGTAGGGAACGATCAAGCCCAACAGCCATACAAGATATGTACAAAGCCTTGGATCGGCACAGAGCAAAAGATAACTGCAATGTTGTAATCACAATCACACTGCACCCAACTCAAGACTGCAGATCTGGTGAATGTGCATAACTTCTACAAGCGAATCGGGTTGACAGCATTCAATCCTGCAAACTACTGGAGCTGAGGCTTCAGCTCCAGTGGCAAGCGCCTTCGTCAGCGTCTCAGTTTGACGATGACTGGCACCACCCTGGATTGTAGGACCTGGCAGTGGGGAGTATATTCTTGCTACATGGTGACTGTCTGCACAGAACACTGCATCTTCACAAGGCGCAGTTAGCACCGTTTTGAGTCTCGAGTCATCGGTCTTTCCCACGCACTGCAAGCTGTCACATGTGGGCCATGTGCAACACAGATGATTGTAACCACTGCAGGCCTCCATAGCAATATAAAGTGCAGGGCACCAGGTTCCTATGGCCCATATCATACACATCAGCACACTCTACAACTCGCCGTGCCCGTGCACATTCAACTTTGTTGAACATCTGCAACCTGGCTATGACAGGCATTGTTCCAAGATGATTGGAGCCAACTCAGGGTCCACATAGTTCATGGTCCCAGCCAACAGAACCCTAATAGCAGTACCACTTTGTACTTGTTTAGGTGGTGCTGGGTTTGAAGCTTCATGTGGGGTTTGAGGGTTTAGGGTGTATAGGCCAGGACCAGGATCGGAGATTAGAGGGTTTAGGGTTCAGGCTCGGTTATGGCGTTACAGTAAGGGGTTGGTGTTCTAATATTCTGATCAATGGCACGAAGTGTGTAGAACCTGGGCTGGAAGTTTCCTACATACAGCCGAAAACACATTGGGATCTTTTGCCCAGGTGGGCTGCGTGCACACCTACGCGGCTGGCTTGGCCTTGCTCTTGGGCCTTCTGGTTTTCTTTTTGGGGTGGCCTTCGGGCTCTTGCTCTTCCGCCTCACGCTTAGCACTAGGCTTCGCCGGCTTCTTCTTCAGCTTCCTCAGGGTCAGGATTGGACTTGGTTATGGTTGTGAATGAACACGTTCTGTAGCGCCCATCAATCTAAGCAGCTTGTTCTTGATCTCCAGAGATGTCGCCATAATCATCCTGACATTCAACAGTTACATAGAGTGTTGTTGTTTTCTGAGAGAAAAGAAGTTCATGCATGTTTGATTAATTATATACAAGACTCTGCCGCTTGACCGCTTCACACACTTTGGTGTATTCATCCTGCTGCCTGGGAAGCAAACTAATCTCGAAGCAGCTGAGACAATGTGGTTTCAGGAAGTAGGAATTCAGGTTTTGTAGGACTGCATGGAAGCTAGTTTTATAGCCAAGCTACGGACCTGTCAACTCCTGGACCTTTGCATCAGCTTGCAGTTTTGCAAGATCATCATAAAGGTTTCCAAGACTCTTGATCACTTCGAGCATCTTTGGCATCTCCCTCAGCTGACTTCAAGCAGTGTGTGACCCAAGCTACAAATCTGTATTCTATATATATGACAAATCTATAGCATAAAGGGTTAGGGCACGCAGAGACCGATGCATCAGCAACATCCAAGCGCTCCATGAACTTGTTCAGCTTATCCCTCGAAGTGACGGCCTCGTTCATATGTCGTTGAAGGCTGTCCTTCACCTCAGTAGCAGCAGCTACAGTAGACATTCCAGTATGAACTGTGCAGCCTCTAAAATAAACACAACTGACATCTGCCCTCTACAAAGTTTTCATCTAGGTGCTTTGTCCTTACCGTCTTCAACACCTGGTGCTTGTTCCTCATGATTCCAGCCCTTGTCCAAGTCTTCAGGCTTGCTGGAGTCCGCTAGGCTGTCAACCTTGCCCTTTGCAGATGTAGAGTCCCGAACGCCCTCAACTTCATTGGTGCCCCTGGTTCCATGGGTCCTGGTGTCGACCCAGTACTCCATCTCTTCGTCGTACTTGTTGGTCCTTTGTTGTGAAAGACGAAGCAAGGATTGAATCATCTATCTGCACAGCATCTGAGTTGTAAAGTGAAAGGCCAAGGCACCGCCTAAGGGAAGGGTTTGCATCCGCAAGCGCAATGATTCCAGCGATGCGTTTCCTTAGATCTACATGGACATAGAAGGAAGTAGCAGCTATGGTCGCGATGGAAGTCGTACCCCAGACATGACAATTAATTCTGCTCAAATGACCACCAAGCGGCGCAGAAAACCCCAATCCTCCTTCGGACACCTTCATAGCCATCTCCCTCTCTGAATAGAACCCTCCATCCGTAACCTGCTTGCGAAACTTCTGGGTCTCCTTGTAGAGTTCGACTTTCCGAAGGAAGTCGCCCTTAGCTGTCACGAGCTAGCTGTGAGCCTTAACAATTTTGGTATGTGTCAACCGATACAGAATTTCTCTGTGTAGGCTAGTGACTCTTACCCCATTCGCCTCTGCCATAAGGGAGACAAGGGTGTCACGAGATGCTCCAGCTTTTTTCCACATAGCATGAATATCATCGCTGACCTGTATCTTTCCTGAGGCTGTTTCAGAACAGAAGCGATTCACCTTCGACCGCATGCGGTTCCAGAACTTGGCATCCTCCTCATCAGGGATGTCCTGATGGCCCAGTAGCAGACACAATAGGTGTCAGGGATAGTGTCTGCTTTCTGGCTGTTAAAGGTTTAGAGGGAGTGCTTGCGCTTGCAGGGTGGCAGGCAATGCACCAAAGGGGGGCAGGAGTTTTGGGGGTTTGAGGCAGATGTTTCAGGGGTGCTAGGGCTCAGAGTCTGCATGGGTCTTGGTTGTATTGGGGGTTTGCTTTGCTTCTGCTCCACATCAGGAAGCTATCACTTATGTGCTAAAGGAGAACACTTCTGTATGATTCCTGCATCGTTCAAGCTGAAACAGATCATCCTGAATTCCGTACAATTAAGCCTTCAAGGGTTGTCTAGGAAGAGCTTGAAACCCCAAAGACCAAACCCATACAGAAAATCGGAGACCCTGGAAGTAAACACACCTGAAGCCCCAGTAGCAAAACACAGGTTAGACCTTAAGAGTACCTTAAGCCTCAAAAGCAACAAGAAACCCTACATCGACAACACCAGGCCAAGAATCAACACTTGACGCCCCAGACCCCAAGACCCTAGACCTATAGACCCAAATCTCTAACCTGTCGTACAGCCAAGTGAGCTGCCAGCTTTTAGGCCTCAGCTGTGTGTTGTATGCTGCAAACCACTACAACCCTTAACCCTTTATCCCTCACTCGAAAATCAGGCCTTCGGAGACGGCACTCGGGTGGAGCCAGGCTGATCCTTCTTCACTGGGCTGGGATCCTTCTTCGATGGGCTGGGGTCCTTCTTCGATGGGCTGGGGTTCTTCTTGGAGGGGCTAGGGGTTTTGTTCTTGGCATTCGGAGAAGGTGTCTTGGTTGTCAGGCGGCGTCGGGGGCTTCGGTTGCTGCGCTTGGCATCAGGGGTCTTGCAAAGACCAGCAGAAGAAGCTCCCCCACGAAGTTGCTCGATAAGCTTTGCTTGGCTCTGCAACAGCTCAAGCAGCTTCTCACGTTCATCCTTAGTTAAGAAAGATTATTTGATCAAGACAACATAGCAGTCAGGAGAGTCAGCTATAGTAGCTAAAGTGCAACACAGGGGCGGTCTTGCCACGCATTCGGATACAGGGTGGGGACGTCTTTTGAGCTTTAATCTGCGGTGGGTGTCGGGGTGGGCTCCCATGAAGCTCTGGCTTGGCTTGCTCCTGCTCCACAGGTTCCTCGGGCTGCTGCTGGCCTGTGGGGCTAGGTCCCTGGCTAGCCTGCAGCTTCTTCTTCAGGGCCTAGGTGACAACGAATATCCCGTAGCTTTCAGTTAGGCAACTATAAGATTTTTGTACCTATCGAACCTATTTAGGGCTTGGGATCGTGGGGTGTGCAGTTCGAGGGTACTTGATATGTAAGGCCGGGGCTGACATCTGTATATCACTGTCATCATCAGAGATCTCAACACAGCCACCGTAGGGATCACAGCGTAGAGGCGAGTCCTGCAGGCAGGCAGGGTCTTTCATTGTGAACTCACACTACAATTACCATGCTCAGCTAGGTCATCTATCCTTCGTAGGGCGGCGGTTCGGCATTGGGCTAGATGTTGAAGTTGATGTCGAGGGGGAGGTGTTGCTTCGCCCCATAGACTGCAACTCGTGGGCGGTTGCAGGAAGAGTGTCATCGCTGTCACCTTGACTACCCACTGCAGGAGCCATCCCTGGCTTCTGCAATTGATTTTCTAGCTCCTGAACACGCAGCTGGCTTAGGTATCTGGGATCCCAAGGCTTAGGGATTTAAGGTTAAGGGGTCTTAGATTTGGGTCACCTGAAGCCCTCGGAAGCTTAAGGCCAAGGGACCCTATATTAGTGACCCAAACAGAAATCAAAGATCCTGGATCATCTCCTTCAGTTCTGCATCCGACTGTGGCAGTTCCTGCTTAACCTGTGACAAACCAGTGTTAACTGCGTTAACACCTTCCAGCATGGAGCCTCCACTCCATGCTTTGGAGAGCAATGCCTTCGCAAGCCTGACTGCGACAGGATCCATGGCACCTGGCGCCTACAGCAGGGGCCACAAGCACAGCCCAAAATCCTGGATCAAGGACACAACAAGTCATCATGCCTGGAAGAATGTTTGGATTTGGGACGTTTTGCTATGGCTTTGGGCACTAGGTTGCAGATATGGACTTGAGGACACCTACCCGTACGCTTTTATACGTTTTTGTACGCCTTTTGTACGCCTTTTGTACGGGTGCCGTACGGGCAGATATGGGCAAATACGGGCGTGCAGTTGCTAGAAATACGGGCGTGTATGGGTTTATATGGGCGTTCGTTGGGAAATACGGTCGGGATACGGTGCAATATGGTCGAGATACGGTGCAATACGGTCGAGATACGGGTGTGATACAGAGAAATACGGTCGCGATACGGGTTGCTGTGGTCCAAAACCTACCAAAACCTGCTAAAAACATAAAAAAACATCAGTAGCACCGTAAAGTCCTAGCAAGTGCACCCCAAAGCAACCAAAAACCCTTGACAGCCACTGTCTTGCGCAGTCTTGAAGAACAGGTGAAGCCACAAAACCTCTGAAACACACCCCTAGGTCCTATACGCAAACCGAAGAAATCCTCAGCCCTACCGAGTTTCTGCTGTACTCTTCAGACACTGGATAGATTCAACGGTGAAACAGCCTGGATTCATCCTGTCGGAAGCCTCTCCCACACAACACTGCGATGATGCCTGAGTGAATTTAACAAGGGCTTCCCAGTACCTTGCACAACCTGGTTTAGACGATGTAGTGAATCTATAAGTGACAAACAACTAGAAGGGCTTGCTATTGTCTGATCTGAAGTGAATGTAGCTGCAACCACATCGAGGTCACATGGCTACTTGTGATCGGCTGATGATCCAGGCGCAGAGAACACTCAAACCACACATAGTGGAGCTTGCAAGGTTCCATCAGATGGAATCAGATAGGCCTGAACTACCACTGGCTGTACACAGACCCAATCAAAAGTCTCCTCTGATATGCAGTACAAGTACATCCTGTAGGACCAGGGTAGTTTATTTGGGGTGCACGATAAGGTTATTCAACTATAGTGACCCATAAAACCTGCTATATCTACAGTCCTAGCATATTCCTATAATCGAAATAAGGTCCTACCCTGACACCATACATATTACATATAGAAACCCTAAGACCCCGAACGGTTTTGGATTGGGAAGAGCATCCAGGAGTTTGGGGCCAGACCACTTCAGGAGCTAAGCTTTTGAGTTGCTGGGATTGAGAGCATCAGGCTTTTTGTAGGTTCAAGGGTTTGTTCTTTGGGGTGTTTATGGCTGATAACTTACTTGGGGCTGTCAAGGACAGGAGAGGCTTCAGGAGTTCTAAAGGCTGGGACTAGAACTCAGGTTGCTGCTAAATTTCTGCATATTTGATTCCTTAAGAAGTTGGGGCCAGCATTGTTGTGTAATCTGGTTTGAAGGTAGTGTATTGTGGCCTTTCGTAAGACTGCATGAAGGGTAACTTCAGCTTTGGGGTTGCAGGTCTCAGGGTTCCAGCTCTTGTTTGTTTCAAAACTGGGTCTGAAAACCATAGACAAAATACGATCAAGGCATCTGCTGTGCTGAGCTAGAATGGTTGTACTTAGGAAGCAACGGTCGCCATCTCTCTGGTACCTTCAATCCTTGGCAACCATAGAGATAAACAGCGACCTCCTGAAGCGCCCCATCAGAGCACTCATCCTCGTAAGTTGCATTCCGAAACATCTCAAGAGCATCACCTTCCTCCCGAATGTTGCATGCTGCCATGCTGGTCTTGAGAAACTTGAAGATCTCGAGCAGTCTCGTGCCCAGGCCAGCTGGATAGATCCTGAGGAAACATTGGCTGGGCTGGGATCACCCCTGAGTGAAGTAGGGTTGGAGGGTTTAGGGTTCAGGCTTAGGGCCAACTCAGGGCTTTGCATAAAGGTTTTGTAGGAGTTTCGGGGTGGAGGTTCAAGAACTGGGCGTGGAGTATTGGGTGAAGCTGAGGCGTTAAAAGCTTGTGTCGGGCACAGGGTTTAGGCGTTTAAGGCTTAGGGGTCCAGGGTTTAGGCGAAGTGGCTGTGTTTGTTTGAGATCATCTGTGCCGGTCCAGCAGCGTCGTCCGGCAGCATCAGTATAATAGCGAGCTGGTTTGATGTTTTTTTTGGCTTTGTTTTTTTCTTTTCGAAACTCTTTCAGAGAAAAAGATCTGGACCAGAATCCCCTTATCATGGAAGAGCTCGACCATAACGTCGTTCGTTTAGCTGTTGCTGATTTGAACTGGCCCATCCAAAACGAGACCTTGTAGACCTTACTGAAACTTAGATGCAATCACACTTGCTGACATGTATAGCCGCCACAAAGAAGCACCGCTACACACAACTGCGCAGTTAAATACACAGCAGCTGAACATATTCATGTGTAAGGCAAGGAGCAGTCAGTCTCTGACACAGCCACCGAAAACGATCGTGCCTGAAAAGTAAACTCGAGCTTGGCTGCTCGATTATAAAATTGCCACCAGTCGCCACAGCCAGCAAACAGATAAAAGCACTCCTAAGTTGCGTGACACATGGAAACTCATATGTGTGTACCTACTATGTTCATGCATGTGACACAAACGAACTTGCACCATCGTATACCTGACATGAATGCCATAGACTCATCCTAGACACCGTGCAGCCATCAAGTTCGCCGAGGCC